TTCCGGAATATGCTCTAGTCGAGGCCTATAAGCAACGAAACACTGTTTGCACTCATGAGCTCTATCCCCAAACACTATTTTCAGTTCTTCGTGAAAACGACTCATGTTCACGATACCTTGCCTAGTGTTTTTCACAATGTGTTGCAAAGCTTTCTTTCGGCTCAAGATTCTATCTCTAGATGACGTTTTTAACTGTTTCTTTTGTTTAGGCTCTTCACTGTGCCTTGCGGATGGTGCACATGGTGCATTGGGCTCATTGGTAACCTGACTCATGGCTGTCAGGCTTGGCTTTGATGGCACGGGCGTGCCGGCGACGGCAGCTTCCTCTGATGGCACGGTCGTGCCTGCAAAGGCAGCTTCCTCCGCTTGGTATTCCGAGGGGAATTCACAGATCGGCAGCAACAAATGGCCATTTGCGGCACGCTTGAGAGGTACTGCGGACATGTGATGCTTCTCACTCGAAATGGTTCCGGCACCAAGATCAAGAGTTGCTTGCATTCCTTCAAGCACACGGCGTGAGAGCAAAAACGGTGTTCGGCCCTCGATGACATATGTTGTCACTGTGCCCCAGAGAGATCCCAGTTTGACTGTCCACTTCAGACCTGAGGTGGTTGTGGTCTTTTCTCCAGAAAAACCTCGGAGCTCTACTGGCGGCAATTCAACATCAACAGGCAAGGGAAAACCATATTGCTTCATCATGGCTGTTAACTCTTGTGCTGTTTCCCGACCAACAACTGACGTTGTACAACCTGTATCAATGATCACACAACCCAATGGTATTGATGCTAAAAGAATCTCCAAAGGCTGTCCCTCGTTGATCATGTAGTTGAATTCTGTGACATACCCAGCTTCTGCAAAATTGGCATCCTCGCGTCTCGGACGAACTTCCGGTTTCTTGCGAGGAAAGGCCTTGGGCCCCCCTCGACTATTCTGTCCGGACTTGTCATAACGAAAGGATTGTTTTGCCGGCATCTGCGACGATGTGCTTGTCCCTGTCCCCGATGGTGGACCTCCTGATTCTGGCTGTATGGCCACCACTGGGAAATAAGGCTGTCTTGCTCTTTTCAACTCTCTCACTTTCTTTCGTGTCTCTTTGTATGTTTTGAACGACTTCTTGAAGTCCTTTTTGGCCTTTTGTTTGACCTCGTACACTTCCTGCAGCTCAGCTTCCAGCTCTGAATCCACGGCTTGTTCATCGCCGTCTCCGTCGGCGACCAACGCTTCTTCTGAACCAGATTCACTGCAGAGTGCGAGCTCTTCTATGTCTTCAAGTCCTAATGAATCTCCTTCTGGAACTGCGGCCTGTGCTACAAAGGTGTCACGCCGTCGTGGAGGAGGATGTGGACGACGTGTATCGAAGCGACGGTTCTCCGGATTGGAACGTGACTCTTCCATGTCTGAGGCACGGAGGATCTTCTCCACATCCTGGAACCGAGCTGAGCCACCTGTTGCACGGATCACCTGAGCTTTCTGTTCACGTGAAAGCCCAAACTTCTTCATGAACAAATGCCCCAACACTGTCTGTGGGAAAATAGGCTTCGGCTTGAGGTGACCTTTTTCAATGTTGCCCAGCATTTGTTCCATCTTCAATCGGTCTTTTTCTTCATCAGCAGCTTGAGTACCTTTGGATTCTGCCTTTCTCTTTGAACTTGTCGTTGAAGCCGGCCTGCTTCGTGCAGGCTCCGTGTGTACCTCAGCATCGGCGGGAGGAGGTGGTTCCTCTCGCTCGTGTTCACCCGGTGCTGAGGCCGGTCTTGCACCTGCAGCTGACGCGGCAGGGCCAGCCGGAGGCTGACGGTGAAGGCTCTCAAAGAAGCGTCCATGAATGTCCTCATCATAGGTTTCTTCATCTGTCGGTTCGACACTGCTCGGAGGATCATGGACAGCATCTTTGGGACCTTTCCCCTGTCGTCTCCGTTTGACCTTGAGCGTCTCACGTTCTTGTGCAATCAAAGTTTGAACACGCGCCAATGCTGTCTTGAAACGCGAAGCAAAACTTGTTGCACCCTCGTGTGGACGTCTTTTGAGGTCAAAGAGAAATGAATCAACAGCATCATGCATTTCTGTCTCAGGCAGAAACTGGTAGTGAGCATCCAACGCACGAATCACCTTTGTCCAGCCATCTTCTTGTCTCAACTCTGAAACATTCAGATGTTCTGTTGCCCTGTAGGCTTCACCAGTGAGGCGAGCGAGGAGGCGAGGTCCAGCTAAGTGCACATGCTTTGATTCCAGGCTTGCGACTGCAAGGATTGTCTTTCTTCTGAACTCGCGGTACGACGCGGGCTTGCCATCAAAGCTCAAAGAGTAGAAGGACTGGTCCTTCGACTCCATTGGATCAGAATGATCCTGTTGGATCAGTGACCTGTGTCACTGCACACTGGCGACCAGGATGGTCGCACCACACCAACAACTGCCAACAACTCTTGTCAACAACTGGTGGTCAACGGTAGCCCCTTGGAGCGGGGCTCCGCTACCATGCGGAACTGGTAGCAGCAAATACCCAACAACTCAATGTCAATGTAGATCACAATCAACTGCAACCGGTCCTAGGTCACTAGACCTCACGACATAGCGGCACGCGCCTTTTCCGATCAAGCCGAACAACGGCTCAAGGCCTTCAGCCAATATGGCCACGTGAGGACACCTGACAAGAAATGCACTCCAAGGGCAATTTCACAATATCTATAATACATTGTAGTTATTCATTATATTTTACCATATTATACCCATGTGTGCGCGTCACTTGCTTCAGACCGGCTGGCCCTCAGACCGGCACCAACAAGTGGTCTGGTTCTCCAACAATGATCACCAAGAAGTCCAGGTGAGTTGAGCATATTTTCCCCAAATAGATAGAACAGTAACATCCCGTTCAATATAATCTTCATTCTATGATAGAAAACTTTTTTCTATGATAATCAGGTATGATAGAAACACTTCTTTCTATGCATAATTAAGTAATACATCCCTTTCAACATGTATTGGAAACCGTGCCCACTCTCAAATTGGGGGACCAAGAAAATAGTGAACGCCAGAGCACAGAGCCCCCATGAAGTGACTGCCCCTGGGACTTTTGGTGGATACTTGATGATCTTGATGGGGTCATCTGGATTTCACAGAACCGTAGGCCCCGTAGGCCAAGGGGTCTTTGATGTCCTGGTCTTGACCCTCGCCAAGACCAAAGGCCAATAAATGGATACAAATGGCAGGTTTTTCTCATGACCGAAATGTTTGAGCGTCCCCCAGGGAGTTCGTAGCTGGTAGACTCTGGGTAGACCAGCGAAATCACGGCCATGCCTGGCTGCCATGCGCAATGCTGTATCATGCGCTTTCCAAGTTGTATGCTCCAGCCTCATGGCCAGGATGCAAAGAAGCATTTTACCTTTGAATGCCCCAACCGCCGCTTGGCTCTCAAACAGCCAAGCTTGGGGCGATGGGTAGGCGCCAAGCTCGGGCAACTCGAGGGCTCCAGAGGTTCCAGCAATTCTTAGGTGGATTTTTGATTAGGGCGTGTCCCAGTAAGCCAGCAATGGTCGGATAAAATATGTAAAATATGTAGAACTTAGTGTATCATGTTGTTTTTGAGATGCAATTTGCTAACTATCATCATTCACTTTTACTGGTAATGGAATTGCCGATGTACCTAAGATTTGGCTGCTATTTGAGCACTTGGTCAACGCAAAGGGCTGCTTGCTTGTTGATTTGAGCACGCCTGGGGATTTGCAGGGTGGATGGTGAAGGCCAAATGCATTGGTGTCACCTCGCTCATTTAATTTGGGGTGGCATGGAATGGTTTAGCTTTCCCAAGTGATGTCTTCGACTTTGATCAGGGAACTGGTGACATGACCTGCCACTCGCAGACTTCCGCAAATGCACGCCGGAAGCAGATCAGTTTGGAAGATGCGGCCTCAAACCTCCCATCTTCCACATGTTCCAGGAAGAATTAAGTCTCCGATGAGGGGGTGGTTTGTTGGGCCCAGTGGTTGGAGATGGCTGGGGAAGTGGAATGAAGATGATCGAACATCGCTGTGTTGGTCCCCTTGGCAGCCTTGGCAGCCTGCAGGTGATGACCTGTGCCCTTACGGATGTGGGGAGCGACTGTTGGGGTATGAGATGGACGGTTGGGGCGCCCCAGCGGATCTGAGCTCGGGTCTTCTTATGCCACAGCTGGCATAGTCTTAGACATCCAGCATCATCATCCAGCCTAATTAGGCTTGTTTCTTGATTCTTGATGTTTCTTGTTGCCTATGATGGTTTTTTTGAGGATGAATTGAGGTAGAGGGGGTTAGTGCTTGCCCATCCCCAGGCACTGCCAGATGCTGCCACCTTGGAGGGTCGAACACCATGTCTAAAGAGTGGACCTCCAAACCGGCCACGGTCCCAGTTGGGCTCGGTTTCGACCAGCAAGGGTCAGATGATGGTCAGATGGGTTGGGGAGGTGGTTTGGTTTCTGGAAGTCGAGAAACACTTACTGTAAATGGCTGTGGGTCCAAACTGGCGGGCACAGGTTGAGCACGGAAGATGAACAGAATAGTACAAGGAGGTCAACCTGCCAAGGTTTAGGGCTCTGGGTTCTGACCTCCAACTTCGCAGTAATACCCTGTGGAAGGGTTGTAGGTCTTCGTCTTCAGGGCATTCGATGGGGTCATCGCCGCCAGATCCGCTGCGACACCCAGCAGTATGCAGTATGAAACTTGCTATGGTCCGGTACCTCAGCATGTTTCACATGGGATGCGAGGCGTTTCTCCATAAACAGGGTCACACCTTGCGCAGGTGTTTGTTTTTGTTTTTGTTTTTTTGCTTGGCTGTCAATAGTTTCAGTTTTAGTATAAGAGGGCTGACATTTGTAGTACACTTGGACTTACATAACTCTCTTCATGTCAGGTTGACACGACAGAGGCTGGAAGCCATTCTCCAGCGACCGCGCCTTCACTGCTGGGAGTGTTCTTTGAAGCCACTGTGGCTGAAAAATCCTGGTAGATGCCAGCTTCCTATGCAGCCGAATGGCGGGAATGGCCGATTCCGATTCAGACACTCCGAGTGAGGCCTCTTCCAAGTCCACCCAGTCCATCCACAGGACAACATGAATTCGTGTGGTATGTGTTCAATCTGATATTCTCGCTTATTCGCTCGCGGTCATGGTGTTTGATTGATGAAGAGAACCACGCGGAACTTCCAACCAGCCCCAGTACTATTCGGCCATAATTTGGTCCTACTGGAGGCTTGTGGACATGCTTTGAATCCAAACCAGTTGATTTGGTCACATCCTTTTCGAACAGAACATCTTCAGAGTAGCCGATCCGCGGATCCGGCTCGGCAGGATGAAGCCTTGGCAGTGGTTGGGATCCTCCTCTTCCTACTTGGCGGTGTTCGCTGTGAATATCACCGCCTCAATTTTGCTCTTTCCTGAGGACAACTCAGAGCAGAAGCGGCAGAGATTTCGGAATCAAATGCATCTCTATCACTCCGAAACCTGGCAAAAAAAATGCTTTTGCCTAGGGTAGCCCGGTAGCTTTTTACATGAGCCGGTACAGAGGAAGTGCCTATCATTATGTTCGTTTTATTTTTGACTGGAATGGCATTGATTAAGTATGGGCTGGGCTTGCCTTCTGGCCATTCTGGTTGTTCTTTTGTGTATGTTTTTGTCCCTGGGCACTTGCTTTCCGATGATTCGATCAGAGGCAAAGTGCCCCTTGCTGGACCAGATCTCTTTTCTTTGTCTGATGGTGGCGAGCCTTGGTGCCGGCTGCGTTGCAGCCTTCTTGCTGAAGCGGGCGACGTTTTCCGCGCATGCACGGTCTGCAACTGGAGACCTGGAGGGATGTTTTTGACAAAGAGCTTGTGACTGAGGGTTTTCTTTTGGCTTGTTTGCCTTTTGGCTCTTGGCTTTTGGTGGTTTTTGTGGCTTTTGACTGCGGTGGCTGTTTCTTTTAGGCTTTTGCTGGCTTGTGTGGCTCTGGGGTCTTTGAGCGGGTTTGGTTTTTGACGGCTTGCTTTGGTTCTCGTGGATTTCGTTGGCTTCTGATGGCTAGGTTAGGTTTTGATAACATGTTTTGTTGTTTGCATTTTGCAGCCTTTTGGTGTCTTGGCACCAGGCGCTGCGCCCTCCCCCAACCCCTCTAGCTTGTTCAAGCCAAGCCAGGTCAACCAAATCCCAAACACACGACACTAGATTCTATAGATGGCGATAGAGTCAGACCATTGTTTGGGCCAACCTCCTGCAGCTGGGCCAGTGCACTCAGGCTATGCGATGATGAATTGGTTTCAATCCTTGTGTGGTCCCGTCAGCCTTTTGGATCGCTCCGATGACTGTAGCTTTGGAGGCATCCTGGACCGCGATGGCTGGCACTTGACCTTCGGTAGATCGCAGTGTTTTTTTTCCTGATGTTGGCAGGAAGGAGAGGCTCCCCCACCATGAAGAAGGATGAAGTAGAATGACCGATTTCTTTTGTGAGAGTCAGGGTGCTTTGAGCCAAGCTGCTTCCCTTTTATGGAAGCGCGTTTTCTTGTAACCTACAGAGTGGCGTGGCTGTTTTCACTATCCTGACCACCCTGTATGCAAGCCCAGTGACAATTGGTTCGTTTGGGTCAGGGACATGGAAGGACCGCCGGCCCAATGATGTCAGGACTTTCGTTTTATCCAGGCTGATCCTCTACCTAATCGCTCTTTGGTGGATGCAGCTGCTGATTTTTGGGCGCCTCCAGCAGCTGGAGCAGAGCCTCAACGCTTTTGTTGGGGGGGTGGAGATCCAGCCTTTTATATCCTTTTCAGTTCTTCATATATTTCTTCTGTTTCCTTTCTTGCAAATCATTGTGGGACATAGATGCCCTGCCTCAAGTGAACCAGCCGATCATGGGAGCGTGAAGCTGTCACTTTCCATGGCGTCTAGATCTGAGAGTGTTCCTGTTCTGTGACACCCCGTGGTTGTTGCCTTGAATAATCACCCCAATTTCTCCAGCCCAAACCAGAAAATCATAAAAACGAGGGAAGAGAGAGAGGGGCTCTTGGAAGATGCCTTGCCTGTTCATAGCCATGTCCTAGCAAAAGAACGAGCCATGTCCTAGCAAAACAATTGGATTCTCAGCGGAAAACGAGCCAATGTCCCACCAACGGAGCCACCTCCGACGCCTCGGAGCTCCGATCTTGGAAGCTTCCAACGTAACGGTGGCCGCGGTGGCCTCCAAGCGAAGAGCGGTAGCCTCCACCCTAGTAGCGTCTTGCGTCCTATTCCTTCTTGATTGATTCTTAGCAAAGTCCTTTCCTCAGACCCAGGAGCTCTCATCGCAAGTACTGCAGCCTTTGTTTTGGTGCCTTTCTACTGATCCAAGCCGGTGGTGCTTTGGTGGCCATGACCTCACTGTCCATCTTCTGCGGTTGCTTTGTGCTAGGCGAAGGCTACTGCAGCGTTCCGTGGGTTTGGCACGCGGGGCTAGTGGGCATTTTGGCAGGGATCTGCGTGTGGGTTTGCCACATCTTGGCGAGTTTCTTGGCCATTGGCTCACTTTTCAAGTCCTTGCTGGACCTCCACCGTGTCTTGCAACGTGCGGCCACTTGAAGCAGAAATTCTTAAGCGAGTGGAGAGGAGATGGGAGGATGGCAGGTAAGCCAGACAGTCGGTGGAAATACTATGCTTGAAGCAGGGTGACAACTATACTGTACTGCAATCGCAGGATTGTTCGGAGCACGTTGGATAGTTCGACTGTCCCAGAGAAACGGTTTTGACTGGGCGTAAGTACTTGTTTTGCCCGAGACGAAGAGATCAGATGAAGACCGCAACTCTGCTGGTAAGACACCCCTTCGTGACCTCAAAACCCACTTGCTTCCCTTGCTGAATTGGACAGTTGGAAGGTAGGCCGGTAGGCCTGTAGCTGTCAGGCTGTGACTTCGTAAATCGCTATCTCATCCCAGGTGACAGTTGTGAACACTGAATTCCAACCAAACGAGTGACTTGGGCTTTCACTCATGATGTCGATGTTAGTTTTTTTCGCCGAGGTCAAGTTGGCCGACACCCCTACAGCCGCAAAGACGTGCTTAAAACGAGCTCGACGCTTTGCTGCTTCTCAGCTACTGGGTGTCTCCTTTAGCATGTTACTGACGACGCTCGTCGTCCCCTTCGCGGGGTTTCAATCTTCGCCCTACGCGGATCACAGCTACAGCATCTACAGTGCCGACACCATTCACATCATCGTGGCTTGAGCTGTGGGGGAGATGGGGCACGAGCTGTGCGCAGTCGAAGGGCGCGAAGGGACACATAACCAGAAACCACAGGTTTGGCAGTCGCAACTGACAGCACACCCTTCTTTCTCTTGGGGAAGAGATATCGAACCTTGTACTGTAGAGAGAGTATTTCACGAACAATAGTCAGGTACAATAGGTTGGCAAAAGTACAAAGTGTAGATCGGCACCCACCAATGCACCCCTCAGTCACACGGCCTACTGAACATGCACGCGCACAAAGGTGTAAGACATAATATTTAACAGCATAAACCAACCCATGATGACACCTGCAACCTATACTACTTGCGGAGCAACTACCCTTCGCCTGAAGGGATCGATCGGGCTTTTTCACCTCGCGCCGAAAAGTCCCTGGTGGAACGACGAACTCATGCCTGCCATGCGTGCAATCACAACTGGATACATTTTCTAAAATTCGAATGGAGCGAGTGCTTGGATGCCTCACCTAAGGCTCATAGGGAATCATGGGTGCTCCAACGAACGGCAAGCGGCCATCTCATCAGCATTCATCTCTTCAGCTTTTGAACTTTCGGACCGCACTCGAGCCGGGGATGCACGGGCCATGTCCTTCCTTCTCTCGGGCATTGGCCACAAAATAATCAGCCATGTCCTGAACCACCGGTGAGAGGTCACTGCGGCCACTCTGATTGATCATCCACTGCACATACTTGACCTTGGAGGTCTCACTCGATGATGCCAGCTCTGAGTAAGAAATCTCGTGCTTCTCGAACTTCCCGGCCGTTACCAGTGTACGGCCCCACTCTTCCATGCTGCTCACTCCGGACGGCAACTTGGACGAGGCACGAGTCTTGGCTGCTCGAACCATAGGCATCTGTGGTGGTGTTGAGACTTCATCAATCATGCGCCTCTTGGAAGCATCCGTCATACTTCCTTGACCTTCGGATTCACGAACAAGCTCAAATTCACCCAACTCATACCCCAGCTCCTTCAGGAGGGAGTCCATGGATCCTTCATCTCGGACCCTCTGCAGCAACTCATCAACTGCTGAGGACAAACGCTGACTGGTACCAGCCATGGTGAGGCTGGGAGGAAACCGCTGAAAAGCAGGCACTTCGATGAATCGTTCCAAAATGCGATTGCCTTCAAAGCAATCGGTCGAGAAAAAGGCTGCGACATGTATACACAAAACTCACCAGCAAAATCTGCAAATACCTGAGTATTGACTCTAACTACATTGTTCCCAAACAATGAACCCTCACCTTTACTCAAGCTTGCCACTTATGGATCACCTGAGACCCCCTCAGGTGTTGGATCCCCATCGGAACCTTTCGAATCCTTCAAGCGTTGCTCTTGGATTTGCCGTCGAATCTGTTTTTCGGCAGCTTGCATTTTTAACACAGTTTCTTCCGGGGAGATCTGATATGATGCCCTACGAATGCAAGCACGGAGGAGATCGATGGGATCACCGGCGTCCTTGGTGAGTCCATCTGCTAACATCCTATTTGTGGGGACCCACCGAACTAGGGCTTCCATATGCTTACAGCTTTCCCTGATGATCACTACATCAATGCTGGTTCGTCTGTCCTCTATGGATGTTGGAGAGGACGGGGAGTGTAAGTGATCGTACAGGCTCTTGCAGTCGGTGACGATGATCGGCTGTCGCCTTTTGAGCACATTCCTGCAGCTGCGAATCTGCAAGGGGCCATCTATGGTCTCAGCCAAAAGCAACAAGATCCACTCTGTAGTTCCTGAAGCGACTGACATAGCTTGGCTTTCTGCGGCCAGCGTGCTGCTTACCGCCCTCTGTAGGCGGTAGCTTCGCCATGCGGCGGGAGTCCATGGGGCTTCATGTCCTAGGTGCAACTTTTTGTCGGTGAAACCGATGATGTATCCAGCCTGTGTGTGGTTCCCTCTGTTTGCGAATGCTGCATCACTGTGACATACTATGGTTAGGTCGTTCAAAGGAATTGATTTGAACGTCACCCCAACTTCCCTGTGCTGACGAGCACGTCTGACGGCCTGATTTGCAATCCGGAAATCCTCTATGGTCGGTCGAGGAAAGGATTGCTGTGACAGACTTGTTTGAACACTTAAATCAGGCCTGGCTTGAGAGGATAGCCAATTAAGGCTTCCATTGACTGCTCGTAGGACCTTGATTTGACCAGGCGACAAAAGCTCGGATGGAGAGCTGTCCTTGGGCACATTCACTGGTCGAATCTTTTCAGCAAATGACTTCATTGACATAATGATTGACTTGTCTTTCTGTTGATCGTACCATGCACCACAGAACTCTCCACCTTGCATTCGCCATTTCCGATACGGAAAGCGGGCACGGAGTTGTTTGATGGACATTTCAAAATGGTCTCCGGCGCCTCCAACGGCCGTATCGTCGACGTGCACACCCATCACACCAACTAACGTGTGGTCTTTTGGATCTCGAAGTGTGAACAGGCACGGGTCCAAAACGCTTTGGTGCCACCCTAGGGATTTGACAAACCCGCTGAACTCACGAAACCAGGCCGACGGAGCGTCATTCTGTCCGTACAGGTTTCCAACAATCTCTATCACAGCATCAGGAGGGATTCCCGGGATGCCACCTGCGGGTTGGTGTGCGAACAGTGGACGAAATTCAGGGTTTAGCGGACCTGCCTCGAGGAACGCCCCTTTTATATCTCCTAGCTGCAACACCCACTTTTGTGATGCGATCACTTGAAGGAGGCACATTCGACCAAGTTGACTGAGTGTGGGCGACTTCAGAAGGCCTTGTTCGGCCTTTACCTCGAGATCAGGATCGAGGTGTCCTTGCAGACACCACCGGCCCTTCACCGTGAAGGTGTTGTAGTCATTGGAATCTATCTCCATTCCTTCCTCTATTGGCTTGCGGGTCAAAACAAACCTACTGCCGATGAATCGACTTCCATACTGTTCACGAATTTGTTGAGCTTTCTTACCATAGTGCATTCGAACAGCATGTGGTTTTGATGTGATCGTTTCCCATTCCGCTCGTTTTCCTTGTTGGACCTTCTGTTGAAGTTCTGGGGGATTATTGCTATGAGGCAATTCTTTTGACATCTTCTTCTTAAGGTATTCGGCCATCAAGCATTCCCAGGACTCCGAGTTGGCAAGTGACACGAGATCGGAGACATCCTGAACACTCAGCGTTTCTTCGGTTCTCGGGCGACTTGCGGCTGGCTCTTCACCTTCGGGATTACTAGAGGGTGATAAGGGTCTCTTGGGTCGGTCGGCACATGCATCGTCGACTAGCTGAGGAACTACTTCTTTCATGATTTCTATGAAGTCTTCTTGCTTGAGGGCTGGAGGTCTCCACAGCGACATCGGACCATCTTTCCCGGACACTCGACGGCGAACCGGTCCGTACGAACCAGAGCTTTCGGATTCTCTTGGGGGTTCCGATGGATAAGGTGATGAACTGACATCTCCTCGCTCGCTGGGATTTCCTTCCGGATGACTAGATTGATGTGTTTCACGAGCTGCTGGTTCTTCTGGGTCCGTGGCCGACGATGTCACGGCTGGCATAGGCACATCAGCAGGTCGTTGTTCGACCAGTCTAGGTTCATCACTTGGCGGACGGAGTCGACTGGCTTCGGACATTGGGTCCGTTTCCGCAGGACGTTCCCTTGGGTCCACGTCTCCCTCTTGTGGTGGATATGACTGTGGGAGTAGGTCTAGGTACTGACGACTGTGCAGATTACCTTTATCTATCATGTCCTTAATCCCTAGCAGCTCAACATCAGGAGACGATATCAGGCACTTCTCTTCATTTGTCGCGGGTCGGACTTGCTCTGGTGCACAACGAATCACCTGCCTACGATGAATCAACACGAGATTTCTGCCAACATGTCCTAATACGATGGCTACCCCATACCACTGTCCCCCTTGCTGCAACTGACCTTGAACCCACTTTTGGTTTCGCCAGTAGGCCACCATATCCCCTGGTTGAAAGGAAACTGGTTTCCGAGGTCGAGCCAGGAGTGCGACTCGCATTGCTCGGTCGTCCTGCATTTGAACCAGTGCCATCCGAGCAGAGGTTCTCATGGCTTGTGTCCGACTCATTGCCTCATCGGTCAATGATGCGGTCGCAGGCACAATGGACAACGGCTCACTGAGTAAATCCTGAGGAACATGTGGATTGCGGCCAAACACAAACTGGTAAGGGGTGTATCCATGGATCTGAATCATCTGGTTCTTGATATGGGCATGAGACACACATTCTAGCCATTCTTCTCTATTTCGGGGGGAGTAGTCATCGATCAACTTTTCCAACACACGGTTGAACCAGCCACCATGAGATTCGCATTTCCCTAACTGCCAATGAGCACCGGCTGCGATAGGTCGCACATGTGTTCCTTCCAGTTCAGCGGGAACAGTCATGGGGTCACCCAGATTTGTCCTTGCAGGGTCCATGATGATCTCCTTTGGGATTCCGGCCCAGGCAATCCAGTGTTCATTGAGGTGTTCACGCAACAAACTGGCTGTTTCCGTTTGGAAGAACGGAATCATGCGCTGAAAGCTGCTGGCTGTATCTACAATGTTCAGAGCTTTGATCTTTTGGTTTGGCTGCCAACCCCGAAGATGTTTCACATCGATGGCTATTTCCGTAAGGATCTTCAGGTGTACAAGGGAAAGCTGTTGGTTCAACGACAGCTGGAAGTTGTCGTTTGTAGAAACAGTGCTTGTAGGATCAAGCATGCAGTTTTACGCTATACCATTTTGCTCAGCTACCAACCCGCCCGCCCGCACATGCATTGTGTGACGCATGAAGCGCCCAGACATCTTTGTGATGTGGAGCATGTTTTTGATGCGGTGAAGACTTCTCATTTGCAGCGTGAATCTAGATACCTCACCCGTCCATGGATCTAGCATGGTTCTATAGCCGGGAAGAAAACGTAACGAGAGGGAAACGTGAATCATTTAAAAAAACAGAGAGGTGGTGGCGGCGTTGCGCTGTTGCACTGTGTGAGCAAGAAGCGCCCGCCCTTTCGAAGCTGTGGATGGCCCACAGCTAATTCATTTTTAGTGGGTGCGTGTGAAGGTTTGAAGGATGTTTTTTAGAACCATCATAGGACTATGTCATGCCCATGCGAATTTCGTGTTTTGCAAGTTGTGGACCGCGCCAGCGGGAACATGGCCGGTCTATACCTGTGAGCAGCTTTCTTCGCATGGGGCCCAAGTCTTCAACTTGAAAGATGTTGTAAGTTTGCCAAAAAAATATATATATATATAGAATATGTCCATATAGGCCTACAATATATATATATATATAGGGCTGCTATTGGTGTAGACCGCCCAAGAACCGCCCACCCCTCGTGCACACCAGCGGATGGACCGCAAGGCCCGACCATCCAAAGCATACCTTGGATCGCCGTGGAGGCGCGCTCTGCATTGGGTGGCGCATTCGTGCCGTTTTTTTCTGGGAGGTTCTACAAGGGTTGAGGGTTCCCTTTGCTATCGTGCAGCGCTCTTGCCGTGAAATCACATCACCATGTGGTTGCTCGCAGCATAGGGTCCAGGGTCACCACTGTCACCGCTTTGAGTTTTCTTCATTCTTCGCTTCCCCATGGCTTCCGATGGCAGTGGCCGCGAGGAACGGGCTTTGGAGCCGTGGAAGTCTGTCCGTGTCTTGCACCTGTCTACTCAAAAGTTTTGGGAGGTTTGGCTGGGGTATAGTGTGTGTATATTTTCCTGGGGGTTGAATTCGCTGCATGAATTCCCAGTGGAGGCCATGGAAGAGTACCGTGGAATGAGGCTCAGGTTGCGCCTTGCTTTGAGTAAGGGCACCGCTTTCCACTTTAGGTCTTTAGGTTTGTTAATCTGAAGATTGAATGCCCTTTTTCATGTGAAGATTGATGGGTCGCCTTCTTCCAGGACAGCTTGGCACGGAAGATGTTGAACCATATCCCTGACAGAGCCCGCTCAATGATCTTTGATGAGAAAGCTCTTGCCGGACACAAAGTCATCAGCCTAGAAGACAATGTAGCCAGGCCGAGCTACAAGGAGAAATCCAAAATGTTTGGAGTGAGGTGAAGCGTTTTAAGATGTTATAAGTTTTGTGAATTGCATGGTTTCACCGTTTCACCATCCAATGGTTGTCATGGAGCCCTGCAGGAGATATCAACCAACTTTGTCTGGCTTAAACCCATTTGTGAAGCCTTCCCAGACCGTATCCCATCGGGATTCCTGCTGATGGATGTCTTCTTGCGCTTGGACGCAATCATGCAAGGCCGCCTTTTACTCAAGCAAGCAGATGGGCCCACTAGCAAGGAAGACAAAGTTGCCATGGCCAAGGAGGAGATGGAGAGCCTTAAGCGCCTGCTTAGTGCACTGCGCTACCTTTACAGGAATGGCAGCTCAGCTGTGAGCGTCGTAGTTTTTTAGTTTTGTTTTGCGCGTGGGTGCGCAGGGCTTAGAAACAAGAGCTTTCGAGCAACAACCTCGCAGGCCCTGGAAGCTTTGACGACAAAGTCCGGCATCTCAAGTCTCTCCTCAAACCGTCTCCAAGTTCACAGGTTTCTTGATCAAATAGTTTTGGCAATGTTCTACAAGTCTTTTTCTTGGGTTGGCTCATGGTTTCGACCAATGAATGCGACGTTCAATAGTTTCTGGTTTAGAAATCAAGCTTGCCTTCTTTCCCAGGCTCGCCGTGCCAATGCCGCAAGTGAGTCGTCAACAGAGGAGGCCAGGCGGCAGAGTGTCAAACCTAGGTTCACCAAGTTGCATTGAAGCTCTAAAGAACCTTTCTGGAAGATGCGTTTGCTTTGTGAGCGACTTCTGAGAAACCTGGTTTGTGGCGATGGTTAGCTGTTTGTAGCTGATCTCCTTAAGTTTGCGGCGCAGGAAGCGGAAGATGCTGCTGGTTCTAGTGCAGCGGAGTTTGAAGAGTTTCAAGGCAGCCCTTGCGACTCCGATGAGGAAAACTCCGATGGCGCCAACGATGACAGCGATGATGCCATCGACAATGATGACACGAAAGCGACCAGTGAGAACGAGCACATGGAGGAGAGTGGAGCCAGTGATGTCAAGATGAAGCGAGTGAGCTTGGGGTCAAGCACTGACGTGCCTGATGAGAACCAGAATGATGAGGAGGCTTCATCGCAGGCCTCAGACGTTGACTCCGAGGCCACACTCATGCTGCCTGGTCTTGGGAGCTCTGATGAAGAGGCCAAGGAGGATCGTGATACCAGCCGGCCATTGACTCAGTAAAGCTACAGCGCAAGCGCAGTTGCTGGGACGTGGTTGCTGAATCGCAGGTGGACGATGATTCTGGCAGGGACGAGGACTGGAGTGTTTACGGGTTCAATCAGATGCAAATACTTGGTGTGTATGTTCATGTATGTTAAAAATATATGTTTGATTGAACGCGATATCTTAAAGTTTTTGTTTGAATGCGATATCATAAACAATTGGCGTCGTTTTTCTGAATGAGCGCAATTGCACTGCTCATTTCCGCATCCCACCATTTCTGCAACTCCTCAATCCCACTGTTTTTTAAGGGGATGTTTCCCGGCAAGAGTGCTGCTTGATTGTGTTGGGTGGGGGTTTGAGCTTCCAGCAAGCCATTCAATCAACCCTTGTCCAATATCCCCTTCAAAAATTCCAACTTAGCACAACCTTCAGTTGCCATTTGCTTCATCCAAGGAAACTTTGCGGGAAGCTTTGTCGGTCAAGGTTCCTGGTTCAACAAAAATGCCAACATCCCTTACAGATCAGAAGTCTTTGGCCCTGCCACCACCGCATTGCCTGGCTTTTGTTTATGAGCACCTTGAGAACTCTATTTCACCATATGTGGGTTTACAGGCCACGTCAAGCTGTCCAAAGCCACATGACCCACACTCAAGTAGAATAGTCTATAGTTCTAGTTATAACAACTTCTGGTCTTGATCCCGGCCACAAAAACGTGTCCTCAAAAAACATTGATAGTTCCCGCCCTCCACAAATGAAAGAACCTGCCCGCCCACCAACCCCTCACAGGTCAGTGAGCGAAAGCCACGAGCGAAGAAGCCCAAGAACAAGAAGGCGAAGAAGGCGGCGAAGGCTTCCTTTCGGCGAGGCTCACACAAAGCCAAGGCGGTGAAAGCGGAGTCCGACGGCGAGTCCTCTTTCAAAGAGCCGCCAGAGGCTAGGCATTGATCCCCTTCAAAATTCACACGTTGGCCCACTGGCCAAAAAAGGTTTAGTAAAAAAGGGTTTGTGGATGAGTCCCATATTTGAGCCCTGCTCAGGTCTATGGCAAGTATTCCCTCAAGGACATTCCCCATCAAGCCCGGCCTCAAGCTGGGAGGATTCACAAGGGCCAGCACAGCTACACCGTGGAACGTGTGGTCATAGACCCAAAGGGGACCGAGTGCAATGTACTCATCGATGTGTTGCTGAGGAACCAAGCCTATTGTGTGAAGAAGCCAACGGAGTATGGTCGAAAGGGCCAGGTCAGCTGGAAGAAATCCGGCGGGCCCTCTCACGCGTGGTGCATTGCAGTGGACCAAGCTACTTGCGGGGCAGACTGCAAGGATTTGTAGTTCTTTTCATTTTGACTTAGATTTCCAAGCCAGGCGGCTTGTTGTCCAGAGATCTCTACAAGGGGGCACCTCAACAACTGGGGTTGCCAAATGTGCAGACACGCTTGGAGGGGTAGGTTGTGATGGAGCGCCCCCATAGATGGGATTGGACACTGCCTAAAAAATTGCCAGTCAGAGTGGTTTGCCATTCCTTTCCCTGATTTACCATCCCTGCCCCATTCGCTGCGCTACCAGTCCTCCTCGACAATAGAAATTCTTCTGCCTTGCCCCAGCCTTGGCCAGGCTGGAGAACAGTGGCATGCCGAGGCGAGACCGCACCGATCCGAATCCTTGGGGCCACTGACCTGTGTGAGTACACAGGTCAAGAAACTTTAACTAAACATATCTAAGCATGTCTTCAGAAACATATGCATATATATATATATGTGTGTGTGGTCCGGTGGTGGCAGTGCAATCAGGGGACCTTTTTGGCAAGGGCTGTGGTTTCATTGAAGCCTCCTTCGGCCCAAGCACAGGTTCTTGGTATACACTGGGTTTGATTGAGGATGGGGAAAGGTCGCCGCTACGTCTCCACTCGGGCCCTTGCAAAATCATGTGTTGACCAGATGGCCGACTTCAAAGAGAAGAAGGCTACCACCTATCGAGACAAACAACGGAACGCAATCCTGAGTGGTCTTCGAGCTTTGAAAGCGCCCGCTGTATCTCAGCGCAAAAGTATAACTCTCCCAGCAGTTCCCTAATGTAATAAAAGGATTACAGGACTACTTAGGACTGTTCCTGTTTTGTTGGCGCTATTCGTCTGAGGTGATAGCTTTCATCGTGACCCTCATTTTTGCGCAGCGGGATTTGAGATTTAGCAGCTCTACAGCCCTGGACCATTTGGAAGCCTTTGCTGGTGACCAAGCGGTCACCATTGGAGAACTCAAGGACCCATAGAGTAGAAGGGACAAACTTAAACCCTGAAAGGTAGTCTTTAGGCTCTCCAAAGGCTTGTAAAGGGTGCCCCACCAAAAACACTTTCAAGGCCACCCTCTGAGGCTTCAAAGTTCCCACCATTTGTTCTAAACAGGAAGGCAGATCCTGCATTGCGCTTGACATAAAGCACAACGAGGCCATGGACATCCTGAGTACCAAGGGTTTCCTCCAGCATCTTTACCAGGTGTGCAGGCTTCACCGGAAAGGAAGTGGCTTTCTAGCTGCTCCTGTGTGTAGTTCCTTTGTCTTCATGAAGCTTGGAAACATAGATTAAAAGTAACTTCTCAAATGGTCCAACAGTTTCCGGTGTTTGTATCGAAGGATCGTTTTGGTGCCTTTGTTCTCTAGAGGTGATGAGGCTCAGGTTGGGCGAAAGGTCCATAGAAGTTTAAGTAGGTACCTGGTTTGTTTGCGAACGCCCTGCAGTCAACTGACTTGGTGAAATCTCCAGGGCCACCCTCGAGTCGATCTAAGGAGCAGGGGCTCTACAGGCCGCACGGCTGGGACACCAACCGGCAACCCTGATTTTCCTTCAGTCAGAGCTGGCAATTACATTGCCTGCAGAACGTTGGTCTTGGTTTGGATTGCTGCAGCCCTCCAAGCTTGGTGGATCTTAGAGCAGCCCAAGAATAGCCTAATGCAGGATTTGCCAGCTTTCAAGGCTTTGATGCGCAACGTCCGTACCTTTAGACATCACATTTTGATGAAGCACTATGGCGGACCAACCGACAAACCCACTTGGCTGTACAGTGGTTCCTCGAAGGTCATTTGCAAGTTCTCTTTATGGTTTCCTGTCATGCCCACTAGAAACAAAGTCCAGGTAAGCCTTCGACCTCCTTAGGTGGTTTCGTTGAGAGGGGTTTGTTTTGAATGAAGAGATTCTTGCAAAAGCTGTTGAGTTGCAAAACGTTCCAAATTTGGAGCCCTCTTTCAACACAATCAGAGGAGTCCCAACAAGCCAAACCCAGGCAGAAGAGACATCGAGCAGCTTGCGGAGTTCAAACCCCTTCCTCATGAACTTGAAGAACACGCTCCAAAGGAGATGGTCGTAGAGTACCGGGACAAGGGTGGCAAGAAGAGAGTTAAGGGGGGGTCTGACTTAAAGGGTAGTCAAAGCTACCCCTTGTTGTAGCCTGGCTTCATCAGTCTTTTCAATGCCAGAAACCCACTTGCCACACCCAAATCTATATTGCATGTCTAGAGAATGCTAGCAAGTAGGTTTTTGGCATGAACCAAATCCTTTTACACCGTCTCGTTCGGCGCCCCACTCTCCAGCTCTGCTGGGAAACCGGACCGTAAGCCACGTGTCCTGAGGTTTGGCAGGGCTTTGAGCAAGTTGCGAACCAAACTTCAGGTGAGAACACAGCAGGAGGCCAAGAAAGCAATCAAGCACAATCTCAAGCGATCAGATCGGAGCTTGAACTACCGAGCGAGTGCCAGCTGGATTAAGTGGGCCAATCTAGAGCCAGTCTTGGAGTTTCTCATGTAAAACATGAGGGATGCCTTGTGTGTGTGTGCAAAACACTTTTCACATTCAATGAATGCACTTCATGCTGCATTGGAGCGTGCTGTGTGAAGAAGACTTCGCACTGATTCACGCCCCATAATTCCAATAGACAAATTACTGTTCTTGGGGTGAGCTTGCAAAATGGTGCACCTCTATCACCGGTTGTGCCCTGCAATCCTCCCAACCAGCCCTTCACTACACAATCCCAGCCCCATTCGGGAGGCTTGTCCTGAAGAGGCTGAAGACTGGAGGTGCGCTCCAGCCTCACACCGTCCGACTTGGGCCAAGCATCATGGAATCTGGCTGAGTGCACCCAGATTAAAAATGAAACATTTCAAGGTCCCCCAAATTTTCAACAATATTTTTCAAAAAAAGATGTCATAGGTCAGCCGAGTCCCGGAGAGAAAAAGCCGTGATTTGGAGAGAACAGCCGAGTCTGGGAGAACCCTCAAAAACATTGATCCACCGTATCAGGAACGCGCATTGCACTTCAACGCTTCATCTTTGGTTCAATTGAGATATTTTTTGGGCTCCAACCAATAGTGTTGAGCATGGCAAAAGGTGCCCCTAGCTGTCGCATACGCGGGAAGGGGGGTAAAGCTGATGATACTGTGCCAGTGCGGAAGTCCGCGCTGAAGAACCCACTCAGAAAGCCAAAAGAGTCAAAAGAAAAGCCTCAGCCTCAGAAGAAGTCTGAGAAGAAGAACGCAAAGGAAGAGAGGCCACCAGCGAAGCAGAAGGAGCATGGCAAGAAGCAAAAGGCACAGAAGAAGACTGAGAAGAAGGTGAAGGATGCAAAAGACGGCGAAGAGAAGACAAAGAAGGAGAAAGAGAAGAAGGAGAAGTGTGACGCAAAGGGGACAGCAGATGGAAAGGGTCCGGCAAAGGAGAAGACAGAGAAGGCCAAGGAAAAGAAGGAGGTAGCAAAGAAGAAGGCCGATGAGAAGAAAGAAAAGAAAGGAAAGGAGAGGAAGCAAGAGAAGCAGGCAGAGAGAAAGGAAAAAAGTCAGGCAAAGGAGAAGAATGAGAAGCCACAGAAAGGGGCTCGTGAGCAGGAGACGTCAAAGAAAGCTGAGAAGCAGAAAGAGAAAGGAAAGAAGAGCAAGCAGGAGGATGAGGAGGTGAAGCACAAGAGAAGAGAAAAGCAAGAAGAGGATGGCAAGAAGAAGAAAGCCAAAAAACAGAAAGACCAGAAGAGCGACGCCACCAGCCCAGCCACTACAGCCCCATACACACCAGTGCGTGGGAACAAGGCTCTGGCTGACTCTCAAGTGAGTGCCACCGCCAGCGAACCACCTAGCGCAAGTGTCTTTCAGGATTTGGCCGACTTTGAGGAGGCAAAGAAAAATGCACAGAAAAAGGGGGTGTCGCTTGAGGATTATTTGGCTGGCCTTTCAAGCCTAGAGCTTGAAGAGGTGTTAGAAAGCCATATGAAGCAACTTTGCGCAGAAACAAATCAAAAGACTGAAGATGATGAGGATGAAGGGGCAGCGGATGGAGACGACAGCATGAATGAGGAAGAAGATGGAGAGGAGGAGGAAGAGGAGGAGGAGGAATCGGAGGAGGATGATGAAGAGAAGGGCGAAGGAAGTGAGGCGGAGGACTGCGACGAAGAAGATGAAGACAAGGAGGAGAAAGAGGAGGAGGAAGATAACCAAAAAGAAGAGGAAATGGAAGAAGGAATTGGTGGTGATGAGGATGCTGAAACGGAAGAAGACAGCTCAACTTCTTCTGATGAGAGCTCGTCAGGTGAGGATGATGATAGCGAAGATGAAAGAAAAGATGGGTCAAAATGCACAGCCATCGTTGCTGTCGCCAAAGATGCAGAGAAGAAAAGCATGGATCTGGCTAACGCCAACAGCGTTACACACAAGAATGAATGGAACCAGTTCCACCGCCAGTGCCTGAACAGAAAAGTGTTTCCAGCGGCGCTGGCTTCCAACTTTTTGGACCACAAGCTTGACCTGTTCCGTGAATGGCTCAAATGTGGTGGAGAGTGGAAGAAGGTGGAGCTCAACATTGAGCGTCGGGTGACAGAGTCGAGAAAGAACAAGAGGTCGCGGAAGGGAATGAAGTTTCGCGATATCGTCGCACAGTATGGTGAGAAGAACCTCTGTCATTATTTGAGTCTAGACTTTTTGTTTGTTCTGGTTGGTTTGTTTTGTTATGGCCTCCCACCCCACTTCCTGGTTTCCGTGCTGCAACACAACAAGGAAAGCCAAAGAGTTGGTTGACCGGCTTCGCTCCAAAGAGATGTACGAGTACGATGAAGACTTTGAGAAGGATGAAGATGAACCTTCTTCCAAGTTTATGGTTCTTAACCTTTTCCCTCTTTAAAGTTTCCCCTGGTTCAAAGGGTGTTTTGGGTTTGAGGTTTGACTTCCACTGTTGCTATCTCATCGGCCCAGGAGATCTGGTGGTACGTGCAACAGGGAGGCGAAGTGTCAAAGGAGACAAAATGTCAGGAGTCCTTTGGATTCAATGTGAGGGACAAACATCCTGATCCACAAATCATGAGTGTGCTCACAGGTGAAGGGGGCCCACTTGCACCAGGGGCATGCCCTGGTCTTTCCAATGTTTCTGAGAAGGGTGAAACGGCTGTGCACGGGGCTCTGAGCCAACAAGCAACCTTGAAGCCAAAGAGGAAAAGCAAAGGGAAGAATGGTGAAGAAGAAAAGGCAGAAGAGATGAAACCAAAGACTCCAAAAGAAGAAGCAAATGAGAAAAGGGGAGAGATTTTGAAAGCCTCAGCGGACGCGAGGAAATATGCTATTTCGCTGAAGCAGTTGAACTACGCAGGGGAGCTGGTTGCCGGGCTCCTCAAATTCTCGGACGCAATGGAAAAGATCTATGGGGAGATGTCTACTCTCATTTCTTCGGGGGTTGATGAAGCGAAGAAGTACAAGAGTCTTATGAGCACAGCGGATTCGCAACTGGCATGGTACAAACAAGCTGAGGCCAGGTTCACTGTCTCGGTTCAACACTTCCAAGTATTTCCACACATCCCTTCTATACTATATAGTGCACTGGGAAAGCTTTGCAAGTTCAATACAATCCCTCTTGTCGCTGCCTCCCATTCAGTTGTTTCAATCCCAGTCTTACTTTACAAGTCTCGACTAGACAAACGACAAACGACAAGCCCTTACCATGCTATCTGTGGCAGGCAGCGGCGAAGGGACTCCAGAGCGGAATGCGAGAAAAGAAGTCATCAAAGACAAAGAAAGGCAAGAAGGAAGAAAAGGCTGAGGATTGAAGAGCGAACGTCTTGTCTTAGGGGTCTTAGGGGTAGATCCAGGAACAGTCACGCAAAGCATCCAAAGGATTCCGAAAAGGGTCCAGGGAGCGATGCTACCTGCGAGGCATAGAGCCTGGTTTATTTTAACTATAGCCTGTTCAGCCTGTCTCTCAAGTCCCTCTCAAGTCCATGGGGGCTCTTCAAACAAGAGTGCGAACGCACAACTGTGAAAAAACGAAACGCGGACCGATTTGCTTACGTCAGTCTCTTCTTTTGAACAGCTGTGTATCAAACAGGAATTTGCCATCAATTCGACATGCTAAAGACTTCAGACCAAGGTTTTGCAAAGAAATTGTAAAAAGCTGTAAAAAGGTTTTTCCATTTCGCAATACTTCAACAATCTCACACGTGACATCTTTTGCGAGTGTCCTTTCGTATGCAGTCTCATAGAACCACACAGCCGGTCTTTCTTTGATGCCAGTTGGCATATTCCCAAATCACTGCGCAGGTGTGCAGTCGCGAGGATCTAGAATACCTACATCAAGGAGTGTCTCTGGGTGTGCGTGTGCACATTATGTGCGTGAGTGCGCAGGCGGTTGTGAGTCGTAAGAGTTTCCCAGGAATCGTCAGCAAAGATATGAAAGTTTACCTTTCAGTCAAACGGCTGATTCATATTTGAGAGCCTCAACCTGCACCTGTTTAATCTTTGTGTATGAGTGGATCAGCGTCAAGGTGTTCAATTTGAATGGAAAGAACCAAGTTCCATTTTCCTCGCCTGATGCAAGGCATGGTTGGATCAGGGAGGTCTTCAATAGCTGCCGTGGCAGAGCTGTCACGGGCCAACGTTGCAGACATGGGCAAGTCTGTGCCTCAAGCTGTAGCGGCCTTGGCTAGTTTAGGCTCTTGGGGCAACAACGCCTCAAACTCAGAAAGGGACATGCACCGTTGGGTCCGGAACCTGTACCAATTTGGCTTGGAGACGTATGATGTGGAGTTGGAGTTGCAGGCCCGAAGCATTTCTTTTTTTGAACTCTGGAGTGAGAGAAGGCCTGAAACATTTGTGTTCTTAACATTGGAGTGAGCGATTGATATGTGTGCCCACTGGAGGCGCCAAACAAAACCCACTTGGAGAAGACGACAATCCCATTTGTGCTCCCCCACGAGCTCTTTCATACCATTTATGAAGCGGGCAAGTTTCAGGTGGGGTGGTGTCTACCATCTTTTTTGAGATGAACAGTCTTGCAAGTATTTTTTGTCTCGCTCTGTGCAGTTCCAGCTTTCAATGACTGGTGGCCGGTCTGCAAATGACATAGCCAGATTTTGGGAGCACTGCTTTCAACAAGAAGAATGGAGGTGTCACCCAGCCAAATATTTGGCTGGAGTTTGCAGGGAACGAGTCATGGCAGAATTGGTTCAATCAAAGGTTGTAACATGGTAGGCACCGTTTTCCTTGTGAGACCAAGGATTAATTCCAATATCCTTGCACATTGATGGTGCAGAATTCTATTCGAATTCCGAGTTCATGGTATGGTCGCTCGGATCCGTTCTGGCTTCCGGTGAGGCTGCAACGTATGTATCCCCAACATGTCAGTCGCGTGTCTCTGTTTTTCTCTTGTTCATGTAGTTGGACAGGTTTGTCCCTGAAAGGTGTGGGATTGCAAGTTCCCGGTGTGCATCATTCGACATGACATGATGTCGTGCCCGACTGTTTGGGCCTGAGCTACAGGAGTGAGGCCCTGTGTTCTGATTCTGCGAGTGTTTGGATGTTTTTTGCAGCGCCATCATCTTTTCAGGTCAAGACAGCAGCGCATAAAGCTGTTGCTGAAATCGTGATCTGGTCAATGCGGCATGCCTTGACTGGCGTATTTCCAAGGCTAGGTGCTTTTGAAGAGCCTTTGACTGGACATCGCGCCACCTTGTGTGGGAAACAAGTGGCCAATGGATTCAGGTTCGCCTATTTTGGATTTAAGTCAGACTGCAAAGCCAGAAAGGAGGCACATCAGTTCACTAAGTCCTACTTGCATTTCTCAATCTGCGAGATTTGCTGCGCCACGAAAAGCGGTGATTGTACATTCAAAGATTTCTACCCAACAGCGCCTCATTTGCTCACAGGGTTTTCGCACGAAGATTATCTTCGGTCGACAGGTGCACATGTGAGTGTTTGGGAACCGATGCCAGGTTTCCATGTGAAATCTGTCTTTTTCGACCCGATGCACGTTATTTTCCTTGGAACGGCCAAGGAAGTGATTGCAAGTTGTCTCGGCTTCTGGAATAAGAAGCAGTATCTAGAGGGCAGAAACGTTGCAGAACGGCTCTCCAATGTTTCAATGAAGCAGAAAGCGTATTCCAAGCAGACTGGTCTACAAGGCCCTTGCAAAACATTCACTCCTTCAAACACAGGTTTGGACAGCACCGATTACCCTGAGCTTGGAAGCGTCTTCAAGGCTGCTGCTATGAAAACGGTGATTTCCTTCTTTGCGACATATGCCCAAGAGATTTCAGTTGCACACGCTGAGGCCAGGTGAAAAGGTTATATAGCTGACACTGTATTAATTACAGGATATGTGTTTCCACCCCACCAGTGGTGCTTAATTATGAAAATCTGAAAGTCTAAACGCAGGACACCGACGCTGCTTTGATTGCTGTTTGCCTGTGGTCACTGCACCAAGCGTTGCACGTTCTGGACCACAATAGCTACATTTTGCCAGAGCAAGACGCGCAGGTTTGAGCGTGTTCAAACCTTTTTTTGCTTTTTTTCTTTTTCAAGTCTCCTTGCATGCAAGTTCTGTGTGTTTGTGTGTGCGCGCGGGGGAGGGGTTCACGAAGCAACCGCATGGCGCAGGCAGTGCACGACCACTTCACCAAGCACTTGCAGTGTTGGCAACACCTGGCTCACCGATGCCAAACTGAAGGGTTTCGCCTTTTCCGGCTGAGACCAAAAACCCATTACTTGCAGCGCATTTCTCAACATGTGTTGAGAAACAGATTGAACCCGCGCATGGTCGCGGCATGCTTTTACGACGAAAGTTTTTTGGGGTACATCAAGCGTATCGCAGTCAAATGTCACAGTGGCAGCCTTCTAAAAAAAAGGTTTTGGCAGCGATACTTTCTTCATTTGTCCCTACGCTTTGAAAAAGCGAGAGCGGCTTCGAAGTGATCGCCCATCTGGGGTTCCAGGCGAAAAGGTGTGAACTCCAGCTCATCAACGGTCGTGGCCAGCGAGCGGCGGTGCGTGTATCCACCTTTTACCATAGATATATATATATAACATGTATATCTAGTCACCTAGTTTTCTGCTTTGCATATGTGGAGAATATGTGCGTGTGTGGCAAACACAGTGCAAACACCATGCGCCTTTACAGGCAACCCTCTAGAGGCAACCCGGGCACCAAACCGAAAACATGCCTACACAAAACCCAATGACAACGAGTTATCCCCACCACTTCTTTTTTCAACGGCTCAAGACTTACAAAGGCACACAGCAGGCGCTGCTACTCTTTAGCGCCTGGCAGCAGCAAACCAAAGCATCTATCAGTGTTCTTTGCTGCACGCAGAGGGGAAGTAGCGTGGCCCTTGTGCAGGCCATGGTGACTATGGTAGTGGAGCTAGGTTTGTTGAGCAGAAGCTTGCCAGGCCAAGCGCTGTGCCAATACTGTTTTGGCTAGAGTTGAAAAACTTCAATTTGGCAATTGTCGTTTGTAACGACAGCTGGAAATTGTCGTTTGGAATGGACAATTGTTGTTATTAACAATTTTGGCAATTGTCGTTTGTAACGACAGCTGGAAATTGTCGTTTGGAATGGACAATTGTCATTTTATATAGACACAATATGATGCATTGTTGATCAACCGAGAGCTGTGTTGACTAACGACAGCTGTTCTATAAGCAGTTGTCGTATGTAGGAACAGCTCTCCCTTGTACAGCTGGGGATCGTAACGGTTGGTGATTAAACTCAGTTACCCTATTCGGCTGTGCAGGAAGAGGACTCTTTGGCTTGGCTTGGCTTTTACAAAAATCACAGGATAGTTCACGGGCTAACTTGAGAGCTTGTTCACTGGCATTTCCGTGACGCAAAATCCGGACCAAGTCACAATTTGGTGGGTGGCCCAGGTTCCTGTGCAATTTGACCAAAACCGGAATGAGCTCTGCATCGGTTCGTTGACTCAGGGCATTGACAGCCAAGACCTCTGACCAGCTCTCTTCAGGAATCGCATCTTCGAGAATGCACACTGCAGGTTCCGCCGATGGTTGCATGGGACTCGAGTCATGACTGCTCATGCGAAAAGCCTCTACGGTTTGAAGCACTGCTTGCACAAACTGCTGTGGGTATCGTCCAGCATATTCACTGACACTTGAAACCCCTGGGGCACTGCCTGCCACTATGTCATGTGAAGCATGATCACCGGTTCCAGGGCATAACAAACCTAAGGTCGACATGTCTTCATGAGTCACTAGCAACCGGGTGCTCTTGCGGATGAATTTATGACTCTCAGGCAAGCGAAGCCCATACCTGCACATGTGCAATTTGACTGTTGTGAACCGACGACACAGGGCTTGAACTTCAGGATATGTCCACAATCTAGACCCCGTCGGATGTTCAAACATTGCTCGACCTCCGAGAGACACTTGTAGCTTGAAAAGCTTACAGCACCATCTAATATAACTACGACTCTGTGCCATTCGTTGGAGGTACTCCAGACGGGTCCATTTCGTGCTATTCAAGTGCATCCACCCGCCTTCGTCGGTGCACGGCGGGCACAACACCAGAAGACATGGCTTCTCCGTCATGAGCTCTTGCTCAACGGCGCTCCTGTGACGACTGAGGCGGAAATCATAACCGTTTATTAGGTCGTATGACTTGGCACGAAAACCTGCTGCTTCGGCGGCTGTCGTGAACCGAGGGGGTGAAAACACCTCCATGACTAAACATCGTTTGATTTTCCTACCCTCTTGAACTGCGAGGCATGCCTGAGCCTGCCGATGCAACTGTCGACATTGGTGATGAGACGGTTGCCACTCTTCCATCGTGACACCTTCAATTGGTTGTCCGACAAAGAAAAACTCAGTTTTCACATGCGGCATACGTTCAAAGAACTTTACCATCGTCTTGTGTTGAAGGGTCCCTGGATCTATCCGGGTATCATCGATGACTTTCGAGGTCTGGATGTCGGTTACCCGCCTACGAAACACATGCTTCCATGCTGGCCCTTGGCGAGACAACCATGGGGTGGTGGCGACATCACAGTCCTCCTGCTCCCAAATCGCCGTGTCAGGTGCTGACGGCGAGGTCAACCCGGGGGCATTTGCCGCAGGCATCCCCGGCTCAAGCTGCGGCTCACCAACATGCTCATGAGATGCCGTGGGACCTGGAGAGGCCTCCACAGATGCCATCACTTCTGTAAAAGCGGCTGCGGGTGAACACAAGGAATCTTCCCCAGTCAATTGCACTACATACTGTCCAGCACTGTTGGTTTGGAGGGGAATTGTCTTTCCAAACACCTGGAGGCTGTCATGTGCGAAGTCCAGAGTCGCACCCAATGTTTTGAGTGCTGTGCGGCTCAACAACAATGGAGCATCACCCTTGATCACTGCAGCACGAATCACACCTCGGCGACGAGCTAAGACGACAGGCATCTGAATGGAGACCAAGGATGTCTCCACTTCACCATTTCCGAACTTGAATTGATGCACTTCATCGATGGGCTTTGGAATTGCCCATCCCTTCTGCTTCCAAATCTTCTCAAAGGCACGGAGGGTGGTCTGCTCAACAATGGTCCGACCACAGCCGGAGTCCAGGACACCATAGCCTGGGGACGACACAAGCAGGATCTCCTCTGTGGTGGCTGGAGCATCGGGCTGACCCTTCTCATTCACATGCTTGCGAACTTGCTCCAGCAGCGTAGGCGTAGCCATCACTGAGGCCACAAAATCCAGTTCTTGCACCACCGCTGCACCGGATGCAGCGCTAGATCCAGAAGTCCTTGACTTGCCAGCTCCTTTGGTCGTCTCTTTTGATCGGCATTCTCGTGCCCAATGGCCTTTGCGGCCGCAACGATTGCAAGTGGAGTTCCTCTTCATCTCCTCAATCTCCACCCGAAAGCTTCGTTTGACATCTCGTGCCTTCTGAAACTGACGAGTTTTCTGAAGGCGGTTCAACTCGTGCCTCTTCTCTTTCCAGGTGGCGGCCAAAACCTCAGCGACTTCGGACTCCTGGAAGGTCTCGGTGTCGGGTCCCGCCTCGACACCAGCATGGTGGTCTTCCAACAACTGCTCAACGTCGGAAAAACCATCATCCCATATCTCAGCAGTGTCATCGCCCCCATCCTGTTCCTCGGCCATTGCCACTCCCGCACGCTTGCGAGTCATGACCAGCTCTGGGTAGCAGGATCGAAGTGCGGAGGCGATGGATTCCCGCTTCAAATCACCTCGAGCCCTGGCGATCACCACCGCCTTTTGCTCTTCCGTCAAAGCAGCTCGATGGAGTAGCAGCCATCCCCTGGCCTCATCCGGGAATGAGACTCCAGTCTTGCGGTGACATTTGTCCATCAGCTCGGATGCCCTGGCGGTCCATTGTCTCATGGACTCGCCTTCATGTGAGCGAAGTCCAAAGATCTCGTTCAGGATCTCCCCCAACTCATCCACTGTCTCCTGCTGAGGGAATCGCTTGTCTAAAATGGCCCATAGGGCATCATCGCCGCCCTTCTTCTGATAGCTTTCGGGATCTAAGTGTTCCACGGCCTCCAGGGCCTTGCCAGAGAGAAGGGTGTATATGTAGGCCCCTCTGGAGCCCTCCGCCAACTTGTCAAGCGTCAGCAGTTTGTTCTTCACCCATTGCTTCCAGCGTTTGTACTCACGGCCATCCTCGGAATCCCCCGAGAAGAAACGGAGCCCACCTTCAGTCGAGGTGGAAGACGTCATCGCTGCCATGCGTAGGACCTTCGCCTGAAGGTCAGGTTCAACGAGCCATGGCGGGAGCCTGCTCTTTGAGCAGGCTCCGCTACCAATTGCGGAGCAACTACCCTTCGCCTGAAGGGATCGATCGGGCTTTTTCACCTCGCGCCGAAAAGTCCCTGGTGGAACGACGAACTCATGCCTGCCATGCGTGCAATCACAACTACTTACATCTACTTACTGCGTTCTGCACACCTCAACGTGCATATTTCAGCGCTTCGGCTCTGCCGTAGCACTTCCACCAGCACTCCGTCCGCCCAGAGGTGTCGCTGGGTGTTCTCGTTCAAGTCTTCGATGCGCTGGGCAACGCCGCTGCAGTGCTGCTTCTTTCGGGGGGGGCATCGACTGGTTCAGCCACTGGTTCCTTCTTCGGGAGGGTGGGGCTCCAGAGGAAGGAGCTGGATGAGGCATTCAGCGCAGTCGGCACCAGCATGGGCACCTGCTTGGAAAGCTCCTTGGTCAACGCAAAAGGCACAAACTCTATAGACCTAGTTTGGGTGGCAACTCTTTGGACATCGGCACAATTTTTTGGGTGGTCTAAAAACCGAATTGCCAACGAGCCCAGCAGCTGATTCTGTTTGGACCCTGCTTCATTTCTCGGACCTTGCTGCTTGCTTTCGACGCCGGAGCCGGTGACCTGCAACCCCCCTTGAGCCGAGGCAAAAGTTGAAGAGCTTTCCATGCGGGGGATGACCTTGAACAGCTTCTTGGATTTCTATCAGGAGGATTTGTCATCCATGTCAGGCTGGAGATATGTACCCCAGATGCACAAAACCAGAGACTTGGCGCTACGATCATGACGCAGTGTGTGATTCTTTTGCGTGGACACCAGCTGACTCGCTGTGTTTTGTCCTACCTTACCCTCCAAATTCAGAACTCCAAAGCCTAAGCGTTGAAATGTGCCACTCTGGAATTCTGAAAGCACTTTAAACTGTTGTTTTTTTGTGTTGAACTTCTTTCTCGCTGGGGCCAGCCAATCTAGATGATTGGCATGTTTGGACAGTTGTTTCACCCAAGTACAAGATCTCCACTATTCCTTTAGGTGGTGGAATCTGAAGCCTTTGCCGTCCCCATCTGCAAGCAACCCCGCCGCCGCCGAGGGGATGTCGTGCGGCGCGCTATCATCCCTCTGACCCGTGCCGAAGAGACGGCCTACTCAGTCAGCACCTTGAACCGTGCAGGCGCCAGGCGAGCAGAGGCGTGGGGGGGTCCTCTACCAGAGAGGTTCTCATAGACTCATAGCTGGTGTTGCTTAGGGCGGTGTCGATTTTCCCTATGGGTGAATCCCGTTGCATCCCGTTGTTTCCTTTTTCTCCCCCGGTTCCGCAAAACCAAGTAATTCCAAAGCTGATCTAGCCCCATGGGACAGCTGCTGCAGTTCGTGGGTCGCTGGTCACTACTCCTGAGAGTGTTTGATTTTTCTGTGGTCTTTTGTACGAGCATGAGCTTGAACTTGTAGCTAGTGACAGGGACCTGTTGTGCACGCATCCAGGTGATGGTCACACACAACTGGGGAAATAACTTCAACGACCTCTTAGCTGCTGTGATTTCGGACAACCTGCAGGAATGCAGCCGCTAGGAGGAATTGTCTCGCTGGAAAACTCGCTCCTGATAGAACTCCTCAACACACAAAAACAGAAACAGTTCTTTCAAAGGAGTATGTTGTAGCCATTGCAGTCATAGTTCCATAGCCTATGCTGGACCCCCTGGCAGACTGTATGTCCAGCAAGGGGGTGATTTTGGTTTGTGATGCCACGTGCTACAAAGCGGGCTTGGGACAATCAGGACCATTGGAAAGGCTCAGGGTAGTGCACCATCTTAGCAACATGCCTTTAAACTGGACGTATTTGCAAGTCAGAGGGATGGAATGACAATTATGAAACCGTTACAGTTCATGTTGATAGCTTCGTTCAAACTTGCGTGTGTAGAAGCATAAGAAGTGTAAGATGGACCCCGTGAGCCCTCTAAGTCTTTAAATGGTTGGCCCAAAGAGGCCACGTTTTGTTTTCACGTGTCGCCCAAGGCTTTAGGATGGCTGGACAGCTGCTCCGTGAGGATAGCCATTTACTGCGTGAGATTTTGACGAAGACTGGGCGTTTGAATGTGAGCTATTGGATTTGTGCTTTTGCCGTGAACCAGCACATGAGCATTTGCCACAGCAACCCGTATGATCGAGATCCCTTGACCAACGAGCTGCATCCTGTGTGTCGATGTTCTTGTGTTAATCTTGTGGATTCCGATGGCCGCAGCACTGACTCTGAGATCAATAAGTTTGATGATATGATGTATCACCTGGCAAGTACTGGAAGCTGCAGGCAAGTGATCGCAGTCGACCAATCGTTTGATCTCTTTCAACGCGCTTGGTGTGTGGCGGAGATTGCTGAAGCCAAGCGATTGCACATGCGACAGTCCTTGAAGTTGTTGTCCAAGGCCGCCATTGAGCAGCGTGCGCAGAGCTTGGGGAGGCTGGATATCCGGAACATGGGAGCATCCTCCGAGAAGGACAAGGAGCTCATTCTTGGGAAGATTGGGAGCATTGACCACTTCAATGCTGAGCTCCAGTCATTGATTTTTGATCCCAAGTCAGGACTGGGGCTGATGATGCAACACTGGTTGATCATGTCCTTGAACTGCAGAAGTGTCCCAACCACAGCCATTCTGGGAGTTTTCGGGAAGTTGGATGGATCGACTGATGTCAAAAGGGTACATCCATGTACATCCCATTATTGACAATACCCTATAGTGATCCCTAGTGTAACCACGGAAAAAAAATGGTTGTGGCCAAAAGGTCTCAGTTGTGAGGACTCTTCGCATCCTGGAGTGCCATGGACAGTGTGCAGCAAATGAGCGAAGTGGGTCGCCTCATTCGATGGGGTATGGCAGACGGTTCCGGGAAAGTATGGAAGGCATGGGATGCGAATTAAGTAATGACACCGGCGCCGCGGATCCCTGGGATCAAAGAGAAGCATGTGGATGATCCTTCCTATGCGGTTCTTTTGGTCCCATGCAGGCCTTATTCATGTTGTGCTGAGTCTTGTCTTGGGCTTGCAGGTGTCCCAGTCTAACAGCAAAGCTGAATGCCCGATGAAGACATTCCCTCCGATGCTATTGCTGGCTCCAACCCAATTTCTGTTGTTGGGACTGAGACACCTTCAGGAAATGCTATTCAGCTGCCTTGCCCACAAGTGGCGAGAGCACAGGCAGCCTACGGATTTCTGGGCAAAGCCCAGCGCCAGGCTCATCAAACGCGGATGTTTCTTGCCGCTTTCGCTTTACAAGCTGGGACGCCCGATGCCCATTTGAGCAAACCCAACCATCAGTAGCAAAGAAAGACAAACACATCTGATCATGGTCTGGATGAATTTTGTCATGGTCTTGTCAGGGGGCGTGCCATTTTCCCCAGATTCCGGGACGGGTCGATTCTCGAAAACCCCCATCAGGGACTCCTGACACCTCAGTCCACGGAGCTCCAACACGTGGACTGACACCTCAGGAGTTGGTGGAGAAGGCCCTTCAGGAGTCCAACGTGAAGGCCCCCCCCAACCCGCTGACCTCGCTGACCCCGAACTGGTGGATGGGTGGAGTGGATCAAGCAAAGCCGCCGAACTGGTTCTGGTTACAGATCACAGGCCTATACCTGCTACTACTTAATCTGAATAGGAGTGAGACATGTTGGAAAGATTGCGTTGCTACACGGAGAACGCACCAGATGGTTGCACCGTTTCACAGTACAGGACTTCCAGCGTCGCTTTTCATGGGAATGAACGTGGGGGAAAACATGCCTTGGGCTGTCAGGTTTTGCACTGTCGGGGCATCTCATGGTAACTATGTTGTGCTGAGTGTCGTGCGGCTTCACCTCTAGGATTGCTGACGCGCTGACGCCATGCTGCTCGGCAGGACTATCGTTCAGCCCTGGAAGATGTCTACTTGGAGCGCAGGGGGCCTAGTAGAGCGCAGTTAGCCGCAGTTCGCATGCAGCGTGGGGTGGAGGCCATGGCTAGTAGGTTGGATCTAGCAGTTCAGCAGTTCATGTGAAGCGTTCCCGGTCGCAGAGGGGGCCATGTGCACCCCGAACCTGGTCGTCGATGTTGAAACCGCGTGAGTAACGAATGGCTGAAGAGCACAATAGAACGGGACTCAGAGTGGATGACTCTGGGCTGCCCAACTCCAAATCTACTTATGACATACAGCCCACTATCTTCCTGGATTGGGTACTTGCCATTGACTCACTTGATTCATCCCACAAGTTCATCCCACTATTTTCTCTCTCCTGCCTGCATTTGGCAGGCGTTCCCAGATCAGGGCACATTAAAACACTCCCCCCCAAACATACACTCCCTGGAACTAACATGGAAGTGGATGGCATGGCAACATTGGAAGACCATTTTCCTCCATGATCAGTTCGAGGGAAGCCGACCACGCTCGGATCCCTCCATGGCCGATTCGTTCTGCGAGGCGATCGCGCCCGCGCGCGGCTGAAGTCGCGGGGCGAGAAGGTGCAGAGCGCAAGATGAACGTCCAACTCTCCAGAATTGGTTTAAGGGAAAATCATGGAAAACCAAAGGAAACCCATGGTATTGGGGTGAAACCCTGGTTTCCTCTACGCCTTGAAGCAATCCATTGACCGTCTGACCAACTGACCATGGATGACCCCGTAAACAGCGGAAAAGGTGACGTGTTTATTTGGCATGTTGTGAAAGAGACCTGATATCGATTGGCGTTGGTCAGACCAATGTCAGAATCAGAGAAGCGTGGCTCGTTTTCTTCTTTCCTCCGGGTGTGAGACAACAGGAACACTTGATGACGGTGTGTTCTTTTCTTCCCCAGCTGCCATGCTCAACACGCTATGAGTTTGCATCGGGTGCGGCTCAATAAGATTGGGATGGCCAGCCTCGGTGGTTAGAACTCTGGATCCTCAGAGGAAACATTTAGACATCCCGTGTCATCCAATTGTTCGCACTGTGAGCAGTCCAATCTTGCTGTGCATTCCCATCTTGCGGGGGGATCAACTTCAGAGGTGCACAACACACTCACACACAGCGTTTCGTGTGCAACTGAGAATCCCATTTTGTGCCTGGTTCTTCAAAGTGCCCTTTTGATATCCCAGTTTGAGGTCACTTGGGCCTGTACAAGGTCACTTAGTCACTTTGAAGAAGCTGGTGAGAAGAACTTTTTTTGGTCTTTTGGAGGATCCTGGGCCCATCTTCATGACTCCCGGCTGTCAGAAGACTCTACGGCGCCGGAGCTCTCAGATGCCGGAAGGGGGTGGGTGAGTCTGCGGTCAAGGTTCCTGCAAATGCCATCAATGCAGTCAAGATGAAGACCCTTTCAACAGGTGCCGTACATAAACGAATGTAAAGAAGTTTGATTCATGAGACTGGGTGAAGATCAATGATGATTAGCACTTTGAGGACCTCTGTCCAGGCTGATCATGCATGCATGTATGCCGCCTGTCCATTCGATCACGGAACACATTTGAAGAGCATCGAAGAGCTCTAAGAGCAAAGCTGAAGTACCAGCTGAGTATGACAAGTGGCAGGTAGGTGACTAATTGGACAAACCAGTCACATATGCCACGCCTTGCCACGCCTGGCACTGGAGGCAAGATATCGTTTCTCCAGAAACCGATAGCAAAAGTTAGTCTGATCTCTCGAGGCCCTAAGACCCACCTACTATATAACCACCTAACCCGCCATAACCCGCCAAGACCCCATTTGGTCAAACCGTTTGAAGCACAGGGACGCCGAGAGAAAAACAAAGCGATTCACCATTCACCAGAAAGCCAGCTCTCATCGGGTGTGACTTGGGGTAGAAATTGAAGCCATTTTAAGCCCATGATTCAACAATCCCACGAGTTTGATCAAGTCAATAGATTCAATGCATTGTTGTTCGCACTTGCCGGGCGCACAGGACAAGCCCCGTGTTTCCACACTGGTGCCACCTGTTCCGCTTCTTCTGCCGGGTTTGAAGCCCAAGGTTTGGAGGCTGAGGGCCACAACCTTTTGACCCGTGCGCGGCGTCAATCCAAGGAGAGATGGTGGTCTCCACCCTATGTAGCTTCTAGTTTTTTCCTCCAACCTAATAGCGATGGCCTCCACCCTGGTAGCTTCTTGTTCCTAGTATGGATATGAAACCCCGTTGGGAAACAGAGATTCATGCAGCCTGAGTTGGAGTTGGAGCAGTTTTGAACTCACTCAGACACTGCATATCCAAAGGAATCCATGTAATTGCAGTCTTTTGTATACAGTGCATATGGAGGTTGTGAGATCGTGGAAGTGGATGTGCTGCATGCCATTGATGAGCACATGCTTGCCGGGCTTGCCGACATGGAAAGCCCTTACCCTTATGACAGTCTCCTGTCCAAAAGGGTCCCACAGACTGACAATCATCATAAAGGATCATAAAGGTGCTGTAGCGCCCTCAGGATTTACCTTCATGTTGAGACCTACCAAGGAAAACTAGGAGAACTGGAAAACGGGATCTATTTCACCACTAAACTATAGAACTAGTGGAAAGTTCAGTGAAGCCTTTCTTTTTCCAGCAATCTCCGTCAGGGTCAAGGACCCGTGGTCCAGACCGCGGCCTGGCGCTCGAACAGCCTACGGCTCGGCGCTTCCAGGAGAAGCTCACCTGGGTCATCGGCTTGGCATCGTTGGGTCCGGCGTGGTGGCTCGGAGACCCGCCCTTGGAGGGCGGGCAGGGTGGAAGTCAACTGCTCCATGCATCAGAGTAGATGGCACATTGGTGAAGACATCAATTATTCCTAATATATGTATATATATATATTCATTATATAAGTATCATTATAATACATACTAGATTATACTAGTAAGTATACTTATTTGTATCATACTATATATTATATTGCAATTTGTTTGAAGGTATCAGCTTTGTGGGTCAACGCGGCCTTCTATGCTTTGCCACGCTCAGGGCGACGGCACCGCAGCCTCTGAAGTGCCCCTTGGCGACCAGCACTGGTGATCCGCACAGATATCCCGAATCACATGGGGATTGCCAAAGGTCCACGGTATTTAGATACATCCGCATATCCCATATCCCAGTTTTTTTGTGTGCATAATGGGTTTAAACCATGCTTTACAATCCATATATGGGGGTTTTGAATTGACCAAAAAGTCAGCATTAGGCACATGTAGTACGACGTAGTTGGAGTCTTCCAGGAGTGGCTCTCTCTCTCTCTCTCTTAGATATCCTGCTGTGTTGCGCCGACCTGGTGACTTGCCACAGCTCCATCGTTCGGACTTCGAAGAAGGGCTGGGTGCGCGCCATGAGAATGTGTGATGATCGTGGTGGGAACCCCTCTTCCACCTAAACATCCTAAACATGTTTCAACGTAACATGGTTCTTGCTGCAGATTCTTTGCCAGGTGCAGTTTGTCACAGCCATGTGAGACTCGCAACTCTTCAACTCGTGCCTCCCTTCAGGCCTCCGGGCGCGGCCAGATATTGGGACACCATGGAGTGGAGCAAGGCGTTGCCGCCGTTTTGGGATCCGTTGCACGGAGCTGTCCAGGCATAGCCGCCACCAACTGGGCATCATAGACTTCAGAATATAGATCCATTTCAGGAAAGGGGGTCCGGTTTGAGAGTTTAGATGAGTTCAAGCAACCCCCAGGAATGGCGTGAGAGTTTTTCCCTGGTGGAGTTTCTGATGAATGTTCAGGGTTGGTGTGAGTTTGTTAGATGTTCATTCATGCTGTCTCCCACTGGCGTGTTTTGGTCGCTGCTAGCCAAGAGTTGGACACTGCAACATTAAGTTCTTCTTGGAAGGTGACTTGGTGTTTTGTATGAAGGGCCACTCAGCAAACTCACAGGCTGCTTGCATTTACTGAGTCCCCACCCTATAACAACTTGAGACTCTAAGATGGTGGCAAATTGCCAGCCTTTAGCAGGGCCAATCGACGCAGACTCCTCCAGAGCGCCAGAAACCGACGGGTTTCCACAACGACCAAGCTGTAATCTTGAGAGCTTGGGGATTTTCCTGGAAGCTTGGGATGTGTTTCGCATTCGTTGATGTTCAAACCATTTCACATACACGTTGGCAGAAGTGTTCCGCGTTTCGGGCCTTTGGAGTTTCCGGGGTGGGGAGATGGAGCGGGAATGTGCTTCGTGGAGTCAGTCGCCTGTAGGAGTTCACGCGCTCTGCACGACCTTGGGATTTGGCCTCGCGAAGGGGCCCAGCCGGATGATCATGGAAGAAGGACGAAGGGACCATCCAAATTCCAGGGCATGGTGGATTGTTTTTCCCGAATGCGTAGCGAAGGGTTCCCGTTTATAGTTGGGGGTCTGGGGGTTGGAGCTGTGTTTGCTTGGCTTGCGTCGTCTCGTCGTCTCTCGTCGCGTCTCAAATTTGCTGCCATTGGGGGAAGCTTTTGCAAGTGACTTTTCATGGACGTGTCACGTGTCAGTTTGCGCCGCTATTCCATTGTGATTTGCATGACAATGACATGTCGCGCAAGAAACGTGATGCATTTCGCTGCACAGGCGCAGCGTTTTGTGAGATCCGCAGATTGCTGCGCAGTTCCATTGGGATTAGCGTTTGGAGAGTCGTGTTTTTGGGGTGTTGGATGTGGCCGTGCCATTGGGATTTGCGTTTCAGGGTGTGGCATCGAAGCTCGGTTTTCGTGACAAGTCTCAGCTGAAATGGCGATTTTGGTGGATGGGGGTGTGCTCAGAACGGGTCGAAATCATTCCAAACGTGTGGTGTGGTGCAAATTTTGTTGAAGCTCACATGAGATGATATTGTCACTTTTCGTGGCAGGCGCAGGACTTTGTGCGGGCTTTGAGGCGTGGAAGTGCGATTCTCGTGGCAGGCACAGGGAATCGTGAGGTTGCGAGGTGTGACGGAGGTGACATTCCGTGGCAGGCGCAGTACTTTGTGCGCGTTAGACGTGTGGATGCGGAAAGATTCGTGGCAGGTGCAGGGAATCGTGAGGTTGATAGAGGCGAATGTCGCTGTCACATTGGGATTGGCATGTGAGCGGACGTTGTTTGGAGGGGCTGGAATCGCGAAACTGCTTGGCAGGGCTGCGTGATGTGTGTGCAACGATGGGTGTTTCCGCTTGACTTTTGGAGGAAGTCTCGTACGAAACGCTCGTTTTGCAGACTTTGACGTGTGAGTTTTTGAGGACGTCTCGTACGAAACGCTGGTTTTGGAGACTTGACGCGCAACCCTCTGCGGAGATCGTGGGTGTCGAGTGTGCGAAATGCAGGCCAGAGTGCGATTTGTCCCATGCGCGCGCAACCCTCTGCGGAGATCCTGCGTGTCGAGTGTGCAAAATGCAGGCGAGAGTGCGATTTGTCACATGCGCGCACAACCCTCTGCGGAGATCGTGCGTGTCGAGCGCGCGAAATGCAGGCGAGAGTGCGATTTGTCCGGTGCCCGCGCAACCCTCTGCGGAGATCGTGCGCGTCGAGTGCGCGAAATGGAGGCGAGAGTGCAATTTTTCCGGTGCCCGCGCAACCCTCTGCGGAGATCGTGCGTGTCGAGCGCGCGAAATGCAGGCGAGCACTAGAACTGGTGACTTTGTAGTACAACTTTAGTACGCGGAGCAATCTGTGGAGCTGGAAGCTGAGAACTGGCGACCTTGTAGTACAACTTTAGTACCCGGAGTATCTGGGGAGCTGGAAGAGTGTCCCACAAGAGTGTCCCGCAACAGTGTCCCACTAGAGTGTCTCACAAGAGTGTCCCTTAAGAGTGTCCTACAAGAGTATCCCACAAGAGTGTCCTACAAGAGTGTCCCACAAGAGTGTCCCACAAGAGTGTCCTACAAGACTATCCAACAAGAGTGTCCTACAAGAGTGTCCCACAAGAGTGTCCCACAAGAGTGTCGCACAGAGTGTCCCACAAGAGTGTCCTGCAAGAGTGTCCCACAAGAGTGTCCTACAAGAGTGTCCCATAAGAGTGTCCTACAAGAGTGTCCCACAAGAGTGTCCCACAAGAGAGTCCTATAGGAGTGTCCCACAAGAGTGTCCTACAAGGGTGTCCCACAAGAGCTTCCTACAAGAGTGACCCACAAGAGTGTCCTACAAGAGTGTCCTTCAAGAGTGTCACAGAAGAGTGTCCCACAAGAGTGTCCCACAAGAGTGTCCTACAAGAGTGTCCCACAAGAGTGTCCTACAAGAGTGTCCCACAAGAGTGTCCTATAAGAGTGTCCCACAAGAGTGTCCTACAAGAGTGTCCCACAAGAGTTTCCTACAAGAGTGACCCACAAGAGTGTCCTACAAGAGTGACCCACAAGAGTGTCCTACAAGAGTGTCCCACAAGAGTGTTTTACAAGAGTGTCCTATATCCTACAAGAGTGTCTCACCAGAGTGTCCCTTAAGAGTGTCCGACAAGAGTATCCCACAAGAGTGTCCTACAAGAGTGTCCCACAAGAGTGTCCCACAAGAGTGTCCCACAAGAGTGTCATGCAAGTGACCCACAAGAGTGTCCTACAAGAGTGTCTCACAAGAGTGTCCCACAAGAGTGTCGCTCAAGAGTGTCGCTCAAGAGTGTTTCACAAGAGTGTCCCTTAAGAGTGTCCGACAAGAGTGTCCCACAAGAGTGTCCCACAAGAGTGTCCCACAGAGTGTCCCACAAGAGTGTCCTGCAAGAGTGTCCCACAAGAGTGTCCTACAAGAGTGTCCTATGAGAGTGTCCCACAAGAGTGTCCCACAAGAGAGTCCTATAAGAGTGTCTTAGAAGAGTGTCCTACAAGGGTGTCCACAAGAGTTTCCTACAAGAGTGACCCACAAGAGTGTCCTACAAGAGTGTCCTTCAAGAGTGTCCCAGAAGAGTGTCCCAGAAGAGTGTCCTACAAGAGTTTTCCACAAGAGTGTCCTACAAGAGTGTTTCACAAGAGTGTCCCTTAAGAGTGTCCGACAAGAGTATCCCACAAGAGTGTCCGACAAGAGTGTCCCACAAGAGTGTCCCACAAGAGTGTCCCACAAGAGTGTCATGCAAGTGACCCACAAGAGTGTCCTACAAGAGTGTCTCACAAGAGTGTCCCACAAGAGTGTCCCACAAGAGTGTCCTACAAGAGTGTCCCACAAGAGTGTCCTACAAGAGTGTCCCACAAGAGTTTCCTACAAGAGTGACCCACAAGATTTAAGAGGCTTACGCCTGACAGCCCGGCGCCGGCCAAGCAGGGTGAGGGTTTGTTTTCAGTGGTTTCGCTTGGCGGGAAGGAAAAATCAAAAAAAGTTGTCGCGGACGATGTTTGTGAACATAAATTGCGTAACATATCTCCAACATAGGCCTAAGATAGCCAACACTATAGCCAACATACCCCCAACAAATGCTCTACATACCTTCCAAGATGGCTCAACATAGGGATAACAGAGGGCAACATGGGGCCAACATACGCCAACGTACGCCAACATAGGCCCAACCCAGGACAACACATGCCAACATATGCCAACATAGGTGTAAGATAGTTTCAACATGGGCCTAAGATGTGCTCAACATAGACCACATGGGCCCAACTTGGCCCAACCTAGTGCTAAGATGCGCACCAGATGGCGAACCTTTGCTCAATATAGACCCCACCAAGTCTCAAAAAGAGAGAAAGAGAGACAGAGAACCCAACCCTAAGATCCAAAAAAGCCGCGTAAATAGGGTGTGTGTAGGGCACGGCACTTTCTCTTCTCTGTCGCTCTTGCTTTGTCTTTTTCATTCTCTCTCTCCCTTTCCCTCTTTGTCTGTATCTGTCTCTGTCTTCGTCCTGGTATCTCTCTCTGTCTCTCTCTCTTTTTGTGTCTCTGTCTTTCACTTTCTTTCCGTCCGTCTCTGTCTCCGTCGCGGTATTTGTCGGTAGCTGTCCCTGTCTCTTTCCCTATCCCTGCTATCAGGTTGTGGGGGAGCATCGCTCTCCCACCCTCGTGTACGACGGGGGCCGGGACTTCGGGCGTCCCGGCAGCATCCTTCGCAAGAAGGGGGCTGACCGCCCGGGTGTGCATTGCGCACACCGAAGGTCGGGAGAGCCGTCGGCCGCAGTGGAGCGCAGGTGGGGAACGAGGGAGTCAGCGAGACAGAGTGAAGCAAGCGTATACGAGTAGCACCAAAGCGGAAACATTTCCGGATGACCGAGAGCTTTTGGTTCACAGAGACAGCGGCTAGTCCAGCAGCACCAATGGAGCTGGTGTCCACGCAGCTGGTCGGAGGGGAGGGCGGGTGTAGGAGAGGAAAACAAAAAAAAGAAACGCACTTGGTGAGTAAGCCGCCAGAGAGGGCAAACGTCGTGTTCGATCGCAACTTGTCCCCAAAAAAATATGCCTTTATCGTCCAGAGGATTCATGTTCAAGCAGTTTCGTGCCTCTTTCTTTTTTTCCATATATGTTACGAAAGCCAGCCTTCGTAGAAGGCGCTAGCGGAGTTGTGTCTGGCGAACGAAGTGAGTAGTTAGGGGGTCTGGGGGGGTGGCCCGAGAAAGGTACACGTCAACTCGGCACATGCTGGGGGAGGAGGGTGCTCCGAGGGAAGGTTTTTTGAGGTTGTGTTGGAGGTGATTTTTGAGGGGTGGTGATGCAAGAAATGCCAAATGCATCATTTGCATCATCTGAATGGAAAGGTGTAGTTGGCACCTTGCAAGGTATAGAGACCTAGGGTAGCCATAGTGCAGCTACCAGGTATAGTACTTCAAGTTCCCTTTCCGTCAACCGCTTGAGACCCTCTACACACGCACAGCAATCCACAGCTTTGAAGTCTCAATCGTGCTTTGAACTTGTATAGGTGTGTAAGAGGTATAGCAACATAGTATTTATACGGACCCAGGGTAGCTACAAGTAGCTACAGTTCTGTTCCCGGGTATGGCGCGCATGAGGCTTCAAAGCTGTGGTTTTCAAGCTAAATTCAAGGTGGCCTGAGACCAGGGTTTGCTGCCCTAAAACACTCTGTTCAGGCCACCTTGAAAATAAGGGTGTAGTTGGCACCTTGCCAGGTATAGACACGCAGGGTAGCTATGTAGCTGTGGTTTTCAAGCTAAATTCAAGGTGGCCTGAGACCACGGTTTGCTGCCCTAAAACACTCTGTTCAGGCCACCTTGAAAATAAAGGTCTTGTAGCTACAATTCTGTTCCCAGGTATGGCGCGCATGAGGCTTCAAAGCTGTGGTTTTCAAGCTAAATTCAAGGTGGCCTGAGACCAGGGTTTGCTGCCCTAAAACACTCTGTGCAGGCCACCTTGAAAATAAAGGTGTAGTTGGCACCTTGCCAGGTATAGAGACCCAGGGTAGCTATGTAGCTGTGGTTTTCAAGCTAAATTCAAGGTGGCCTGAGACCACGGTTTGCTGCCCTGAAACACTCTGTTCAGGCCACCTTGAAAATAGAGGTGTATTTGGCACCTTGCTTGCAGCTACCAGGTATAGTACTTCAAGTTCCCTTTCCGTCAACCGCTCGATAGCCTCTACACACGCGCAGCAATCCACAGCTTTGAAGTCTCATTCGTGCTTTGAACTTGTGTAGGTGTGTAAGAGGTATAGCAACATAGTATTTATACGGACCCAGGCTAGCTTCAGAGCAACATGCAAACGACTATAGGATTAAAACTAAACTAAATAAACCACCTGCCTGACCTTAGTTTTGGGCACGTTCAAGGGCTGGATTCAATCTTGTGGACATGCTTCTGCTTGCACCAGAGTGGTCGACTGTGGACACCTGAAGGGGACTCAGGTGAGGATTTGGAAGGTCAGTCAAGGGTCCATATGCAATATGTTTCCATAATCCAACCCTTAGGGTTTATAGGCGGTATGTCTAGGTGCACACTCCCCGAAATAAGCATAGAAGTGGATGGCATAGCCCCAACAGGTGGTTTTCCACTTCTATGATTAGTTCAATCGGTGTACACAGTGTACCCCTTGGACTTTTTGGTATCTCCATTGCTCACTGGCCATTTCTGAAGGTCTATCACACTTGTGGGTGTAATGATGAACCGGTGATGTCAATTATCGAGCACCCAGCAACAGTTGGTGAAAACCAGACCATAGGTAGGGTCATGCTCAACCTTAGTGGATCAGATCCAGTGTCAACCTGTAAAGCAAGTCCCGTTCATGTGGCCATGCTGCACTTCCCACAGTGAGACCTCCCATTCCATGTCCAACCGGACATTTTTGAAACTAATTCAAACCAAAATTGTAGTTCCTGTAACTCTTGACCTTTGCTCCAAGCATGTTACATTTGACGTTCAGTCCATTTCAGCTCAGTGTTTCAGAGGTGTTTCTTTTTTGGATCAAGGAATCAAGCAATGGACAATGAGTAAAGCAAGCTGGGGTGCTCTTGATGTGCAACACAGTGGATGCAGTGTACCATCCGCACTTGGCAAAGCACAAAAAACAACTGCACAGACAGTGGAAATAACATCGGATTCCATCCAAACCCCCCCCCCTGTGCAGAGGAAATTTCCGGGCAAAATGACACCGAATCCCTCAATTGCCAGGAAGCGCAGGTTTTTGTTTTGACATGGTTACCTCTGTGTGGGCAGAACAAGACGTGAAGCAGATTTGACACGCGGCCGCAAGCAGCTGCGCGAGCTCATTTGCTTGCTTCGACGCGCAGTTGTCGAGAAAGGGAAGCGCTGGCTTTCGTTTTGCAGCTTCTCAGGTTAGTCTACTCCTAACTAATAGTCCGCAACCGTGCCGGTTATCGTGCCCGTGTTTCCGCGCCCTTCGAGGCGGGAGTGTGGTGCGAGCCCGACGCCGCAAGCCGGGAAGAAGCTGCGAAGTTGACGTTGCCAGTCGCCAACGAGAGCACACGGCTTTTGGCGGCAGTGCAGCAAGCCACTGGGGATACGGCAGACTTCTTTGTGAAGGTCGCGACAGTGGTGGTGCTGGCCGTCGCGCAAGACCGGCGAGGTCTGGCGAAGGCACTGATAGCATTGAACCCCGCTCCAGCAAGTCTGCAGAGCATCGCTCAGCAGAACAGTGGACCTTCGAGTTGGTGGGATGTCACCGGGGAGGTGAATGTCAAGTGGGCGGTGCACTCGGGCGACGAGGCAGAGCCGAAGTATGACCTCGCGATCGTCCAGGGCGACAACTACCAGTACGTGAAAAGCAGTTTGTATGGGACGATCGTGATGCGGATGGTCATGGATGCCTGCGAAGCAGTTTTCCAAGAGTTGCCCCCAGCAGAGCAAAAGTTGGGTTTTCAAGCTGTGTGCTTGCAAGTGAACACGGCCCTGAGGGAACAAGGCAATTTGGCTCGATTACTGCTAACCGAGTCTGCGAAGAGGCCTTGGAAGTTTGACTTGGATCCATACACTGCCACGCAGAACTATGGTGGCAAGCGGCGGCGGCTGACGGCACAGCAGCAGGCCACAGCGAAGGCCGAAGGACGCAGTCAGCGTGTGCTGATGCGTTGAGGGGCGATAGCTACGGTTCTGCGAGTTTCTGTGGCAAAAGATGGGAACCCGCACAACATCGCTCCGCGGGATCGCAGAGCATCGCTCAGTGGCAGAATTTAAACAGTCCTTAGTCCTTACTTGAGAGCGCGCAGAGCATCGCTCAGCGCGCCAATAGTTGCCAGCGAGCAGCGCAGAAGCGGTGCCGGCAAAAAGCACGCCGTCGAAGAGACTGAAAGTAGAGAAAAAAAAGGGGGGTTAGACCGACGTCTGTACATGTGAACTGTCATGGCGGTTTTCTTCTTTGTGCGCTCTCTTTGTGTCTAGTTGTGGTGTAGCATGGAAGTTTTGTTCTGGTAGCGCTCAGTTTGCTCTTTGTTGTCTTTGGGTGGCTCGAGTGGCCGTGTCGCTCAGAGTTGCCTCGTTGCCAGGCGAAAACCATGGACAAGGTCAGACGGTGGGGGACCGTTGCAACCCCTCCCTGTGTAAGACGGGGGCCGGGACTTCGGGCGTCCCGGCAGCATCCTTCGCAAGAAGGGGGCTGACCGCCCGGGTGCGTCTAAAACGCACCGAAGGTCGGGTGAGCCGTCGCATTATACGGGCTTACACGGGTACACCTCTCTCTCTCTCTCTCTGCTCTCTCCCTCCCCTCTCTCTGTCTGTCTCTGTCTCTGTCTCCGTCTCGGTCTCTGTCGGTCTCTGTCTCTGTCTCTATGTCTGTCTCTATGTCTGTCTCTGTCTGTCTCTGTCTTCTCTGTTTCTGTCTCGGTCTTCTGTGTCTCTGTCTTCGCTGTCTCTGTCTCTCTCTCTCTCTCTTTTCGAGACTTCCTGACGACTATGTTGCCACATCTTGAGGCAGTCTTAGCCCATCTAGGGGCTATGTTTCCCATATCTGAGACGTAGGTCGGGTCATCTTGCGGCTATGTGTGCCATATCTGGGACTATGTTGGGTCCTCTTGAGGGCCTCTGTCAGATCATCTTGGAGCACATGTTCCGCCTTTGCTCTTAGCGCGCGCCCAACACCCACGAAATGTCGATTAAGCCTGTCCGCGTGGCACGCGTAACCGACACCACGGGCGCCCTGTTAGGCGAAAGTCGTGGACGCCGAAGGCCACAAAACACTGTAAAAACCGATGTTTTTGAACATCCTGCGCAAGATACATATATAAATCTGTCGACCGGATTCGGGCGGGGGTCGACCGGGGGTCGGGCTGGGGTCGACACGGGGTATACTGGGGGTCCAACAAAAGGGTCGGCGGCAGGGGCGGCGAGCGTATATAACCTTCGGTTACCAACCGAAGGCCTCCGGCAAGGGAACGTGCGCGTGGCCGGCGCGCGGAGTGTCCTACAAGAGTGTCATTTGGACATATGTAGTTTTTCGAACGTGTTTCCATTCGGGTTCGTGGGTTCCATCTTGTTTTTTTTGGGGCGCGCGTGTGTAAAGTTAAAAGAGTCTTTCCAATAGTGTGTTCCAATAAATGGATCGAGGGAATTTATGAGAATGAGGTTTGAGTGCAAAAAGGAGCCCCTAGTAGCGTTCTTGCTCCTAGTAGCGATGCCCTTTGCTCCTAGTAACACTGCAATTAGAGTGCAAGTCGCTTCGTCGCTTCTTAGGCCCATACTAGATCCATTGCTGGAAACCCTGGAAGACGCACGGATTTGCGGCCGACGCCTCAGCAGCAGCGGGCCTTCGTTGAATGCCCTGGTGATGGTGCAAACCATGTGTAGAGGTGGACCCCTTGCGCACTCCAGCAACTCTCAGATGAGATGCCGAACACAAGATATATATGATATATATATATATATGTTTTTTCCCCAAACAGTGGACACACTAGGGGTTCTCACGGTAGGTGAAAAGCAGCTGATGCTTAGATCGCTGAAGCGCGCGGGCGTGAACGGCTAATTCGCTGCTTTTTACAGTACATTCATGGTTCTCGATCTCGTCAATGTGCACTTCGACTGCGCAGGCTCGCAAAATCTGCCTGCCGGCGGGGGGTGCTTCTAGCGACTGCGTTCTCGTTGTGGTGCCGTGCGCATTTTCGCACACGGTGGTCACTTTTCGTGGCAGGGAAGCCTTGTTTTGGTGCTTCAAAGCCGCCGACTTTTCGTGACAGGTGCAAGGGATCGGGGCTGTTTTACTTCGAACTGCAGTTTTCGTGGCAGGCGCAGCACTTTGTACATGGTGGTGATCGTCGAGCAGCTCAGATTTCGTGGCAGGTGCAGTGAATCGTGGCTTTTGTGAACCTCGAGGTGCAGACTTCGTGACAGGTACAGCCCAGCACTTTGTGAATCTCGATGCGCAGATTTCGTGACAGGCACAGCACTTTGTGAACCTCGACGTGCAGATTTCGTGACAGGCGCAGCACTTTGTGAACCTCGACGTGCAGAGTTCGTGACAGGCACAGCACTTTGTGAACCTCGACGCGCAGAGTTCGTGACAGGCGCAGCACTTTGTGAACCTCGACGTGCAGATTTCGTGGCAGGCGCAGCACTTGGTGAACCTCGCAGCGCAGATTTCGTGGCAGGCACAGCACTTGGTGAACCTCGAAGTGCAGATTTCGTGGCAGG